TGACGCCTACCGATTTGCATAGTGGTTGCATTGACAGCAACGACAATGGCCACTGCAAAGGCCAAGAAAGTCAGCTGACCCTTCATGAATACCATGTTAATGCACGCTTAGATACTTTCAACGAACTTTACCAACAGTTAAAGTGTTCTACGTTGATTGAATTTACGGACGTCATTTTTATAAGCAGGTGTGGGTGTGACAGCAATCTTATCTTATCAGAGGTGTACATTATTTGCAGCAATAGCGCGAGAAACCGTGACTCATTGCTTTAAAAAAGTAACTTTTCTACAATGATAAATTTATTTTTTAAATAATTATGTAATCTTCATACTGCATTTAAGTTTTAGTTTTTATGGAATGCAGTTTTCATTGAATAAGATAATTATGAAATATATGGTTGAGATAATCAGACTTGTAGAAATATGCATTAATGAAAAGATTTTACACTACTTCAAAAGTGGAATTTTTCTTATCAAACGCATATGAATCATCGCTTTTAATAATAATTGTTTCAAAATTTTCGTCAAATAATTTTTTAATGCAAGTTTAGTTGACGTTTGAGTTGAAGTTTAGTTGAAATTTAGTTGAAATTTAGTTGGCTAAGCAGTTATAGCAGCCATATTTTATAAATGTAATTATTATTGGCTTAATACTGTTCTTAAAATTAATTTTCTGTGTTTATTTGTACAATTAAATAATAATAATGGGTGTTGCTATATAATCGACTTAAAATTTTTTTTAATAATTTCAAACTACAGATAACATTTTTGGTACTTTTTCAAATGAGCTTATGCGTTTATTCAAACTATTGAATAACAAATAGAAATAAAAAAAAAGTTATATCCTACTTTACTACTTCAAATTTAAATTAAACGGGCTGAAAATTATAAAAAATATTCTATTTCTATATTGTAATAATTTAATTGTAATAATTTATTGTAATAATTTATTGTCATCAATGCACCATTTACGTTGTTCGAAACAATTTTTAAACAAATCTTACTTTGTTGGTATTAAAAACATCAAAAAAATAGTTTTTAATAAATTACATCAAAAACAAGTTCTAATTATTTTTTATTTATTTATACTGCTATTTAACTTTTATGTACGTTCAAAACCATTTTACTAATAAGTGTACATTTTTTGTCTACATATTTATTAGTTTATTTTATTTTATTTTATTTTATTTCTCTTTATTCCAATAGCTACCTGTAATTTTTATTTTAAATTCACCAAAACTTTAAGTTTTTATAAACCATTAGAAAAATATGATTTTAGGAATCAAAATAGCCATTTGTTTGTGTCATAATCTCCTCATTCGATATGAATCGATGTCCGGCAAGCCACTTTTTTAGGTTTGGAAATAAAAAAAGGTCCTAGGAAACAAATCTGGTAAATACATTGAATGATCCACTAATTTGAACTTCAATTCCTGAATTTTAGCCATTGAAACTATGCTAATGTACACTCGAGTATTATCTCTAGGAAATAGAATTTTTTTCTTTTCTTCTTTCTTGTTCAAATGAGGACGAATTTTTTTATTTTCTCATTCAACTGATCTAATTATGACGCCAATAATAATACTCTTCGATGATTGTTTGTTCTCTTTCTAAATCGTTGATGAAGATAGTTCCACGTGCATCCTAAAAAACAGTGGCTATCTTGCCGGTCGCATTAACCGACTTTGTCTTCATTGAAGCTCGTTCATCTTTAACAATCTACTGTTTTGACTGCTCTTTCATTTCGGGAGTGTAGTAGTGTAGCCATGTTTTATCTACAGTTATGAATTATTTCAGAAAATCGTCCAGATTACGTTGGATGCGTGCCAAGAAGGCCTTAGCGGCGACCAAACGACTGCGTTTATTCTCCACTGTGAGTGAACGCAGCACCTATCTTGTCGAAATTTTTTTCGGGTCCAATTTATCGTGTAAAATCAAAATGATAGTACCTGTTAATACCCCCGTTATTTCAACTATTTCACAAAATTTTACTCCTCAATCACTCAACACCATGTCGTGGATTTTGTCGATCATGTGTAGAGTACTCACTTTTACAGGACGTCCTAATTGGTGTTTATCTGCAGTCGATGTGTGGCTACGTTTAAATTCATTTACTTAATTGTAAACAGTTGCAAATACAGGGGTGGATACGCCATGAACTGCATCTAACGGAGCTTTGATTTCTTTTGGTTTAAGATCTTTAAAATAGAAGAATGTTTTATCACTACTCGGAACTCACTTTTTTCCATTGTTGAAGGGAAAGTAAAAGTTGTTCACTTTGATCGACGATAAAAACTGAACCACTTGATAGGTCTGGCTGAAACTTTGAGAGCACTTTATTTAGAAGTGACGCTTGCTGTAGCAACATTCGTTGTGATACCTTGCGCGCTATCTCTTGGAATTTTTGAGGATATTGACCCACCCTTGTATATTCCGTGACTAGGTTGTTATATTTCTTCATTATTACTTCCAGTGTGAAGTGTTCCTTAATAAATAATGGTAGTCATGAATCTTTGAATTTCTGAGTAAAATTAATTTATTAATTTGTTTTGAATTTTTTGAGAATCCTAGAGCAATAATACCATACGCGACAATGTTGTTAAACAGTGCATAGTAGATTGTCGTAAGAGTCTTTATGTTTATAAATTTAGCAAATTTCACCATTACAAAAAACAATATATCTTCCTTTTTTACTAAATATTTTATATCATGTTAGATAGGTTCTCGGGAGTCGACATTGTAAAGTATTTGTCCAGGTTGATTAAATGCTGAGTTCTCGGTGTCCAGTCGTGTAATTCGTAGAAAGATCGGCATCTGTCTGAATGGGGTGTTGCTTCCGTCTTTCAATCAGAGGTCACAAACGAGGAGTGTTTCAGAAACTCATATATGCAACGTGCCAAAATCATGTCGGGGTCACCAATTTAAAGTGTGATGCTGCTATTCAGATGCAATAAAATGGATTGATGGAAGGTAGCAGAAAATGATGATAACTAGTAATCAAGATACGCACACTTTTTATTAAAAAACTCGAAGTAAATTTGTAATCCCGGAGGATTATAGAAGACAAGCCTTAATGAATGCACGAGATCAGAACGAAATGTGTTGAAATTAGCGGAAACTGAACCGAGGCCATCAGCATCTGAAAATTAAGTGAATCTCTTGTTCTCGGGTTACTATGCTGCGGGGAAGTGTGCGCTCAGCGCAGCGCTGGAAGTTGAGGAGGTAGCCAGACGGCTACTGGAAGTAGTGCTGGGTGTCTGCTGACTGAGGGGTGTCAACACCGACATAGAGCGGGATGAATCCACAGATGCCTGTGCAGTGTCTAGATATGTGTCAGAATTTATGTCATTTTGGAAGTATCATAATTGTTTTGTAAACGCCCTATCTCGTAACACTTATGTTAGATGTAATAATAAATCACCGATAAATTGCACGTAAAAGAATCATAAGTCAAAGAATTTTGATAACATATAAATAATTTGAGCTGTTTAGAAAATAGAGAAAACAAGAATAAAAAATTATGTTATCAAAGTAAAAAAAAGTTATGAAAGGTTCGCGAAGACTACGCAAAACAATGTGTAAAAGAGTGAAAAGTAAAAATAACATAAGTTATACTACTAAAAAGAACTTGCCAGATATATTTACAACACCACTTTATTTATGCCTTTAAAACTATTAAAGATCAATTTTTAACATAAATTGTTGTATTTGTTAGTTTGATGATGAATAAAATAAACACAAAGCTTAGAGAAACTGCACGGAAAGAAATTTCTCTTAAACATTATAACGAAATTCGTTGCATAAATTACAGTGCGTAACCTTAATCTTGGGACTTCATGACTGATCGATAAAAATTATTAACACATCATAATTTTCATCTAAACTCACCTAAAAATTAAATCCTAAAACTATTCATGAAAAACGCATAATTTTCTTAATGACGCTTAGTCAAATTTCATAATCGTTCACTGTAGAAATTCTCTTACTTGTCCTAATCAACATGTTCATATTTGTTATTGAAGTTCTATATTTTTAAGCCAGATTTTATTAACTGCAAATTGATGTTTCTTACATTATATCTTACATTAAGAGCATGTACGTAAAATATGACTAATAAGAACATTTACTTAAAATCAAATTTTAGAAAATGCATTTTGCTGTATTATCAATAAATAATACACGAACAATGTTAGCAGCTAAAAATATTAAAATCATTTTTTTTATTACATAATTCTTTCCAACAAGAGTTTTTATGTAATTAGAAACTGATATATTATACAGTAATTCGCTTTTAAGAATGGTGCATTGAAATTTCGCAGGATCAATTTCATAAAGCATTACATGTTCAATTAAATTTACAGTTAATAAATAATCATAAAATTATTATTATCAATATAAATTATTGCAAAAATTTTATAAAATTCAGAAACATTTTCGTGAGGTATCATGATAACCTTGTCTATATTGATGCAATTACCTTCAAAAATTACTGATTTCATTGTTATAACAAATCTCTATTTTAACATTGCAAAAGGTAACTTTGCATAAATGTATAGAAACTTATATATTTTATAAATTCTTTTTCTAATCACTTTTTGTAGTCTATCAAAATCAATTATAGAAAATAATTCCTGCAACAAGCGATTATTGAATCAGAGTTGGTGTTTTCTAGGAAATTTTTCAAAACACATGGAGCTAATCTTCCACAGCAATCCAACCATATACAACACCATCTGGTGGTGTTGACATAAACGATACTTTGGTTTTTTCCAATCGGGAAAAGCTTTATTTAAACCCTTTAGATAGTCAAAAATTTTCAAACATAGTTCATATTTCGTACTTTTATAAACATGAGTACTAACAGATATTTCAATTATAGAACAATATTTTCAATATTGTTTAATTTAATTTAATTTTAACATTATTATGTTAATATTTATTATGTTATTTAATATTATTAAAATTATTATTCTAATAAAATCCATTCTTTGTTATATTCAGGTACAAGATGGCCAATAATTAGTTTTATATGACAATGTACTCGAGCGAGGACTTCGTATAATTTAAATCGAACTTCATGTACACGTAAGTTCATTTGATTTTCAATTATATTTCATTCTCGCTCTCATACATTTAACTTATTGTAGTTGTTTAGAGTATCTATGTACATTGAACAGCTTACACTTTATTAAAGTACTTAAGAAATTATAGATTTTGCGAAATCACAACCATCTGAAACAATCGATTTCTTATAAAACCTAGCAAAAGTCTGAGATCTTTCGGACCAGCCCGCCGTCAATCTTATTGTGTCAAAGTCAACTCCTTTATCCACCGTTGCTGAAGTAGCTGCGTGTCTAGTTGAATGTATAGAGAAGATTGACGCGTTTTTATGCCACTATTTCTTAAAACATCTTTTACCCATCTACTAATAGTAGAAGCCTCAATTGCTTTGAACGGTTTTTGCGTACATATAAACAAAAGGCTACATTCACCCCTTAACTCTTTAGTTACTTTAATATATTTACGTAATAATGATAGTACACATAACTTTGGTTTTTCCTTGAACTTAGTAAGTTTCAAACAAGGGTCCTGACGTTTTTATTATATCTGGAATGGTTAACAACGCACCATTTGAATCTTTCTTTATATTATAAATATTTAGCTTAGCTAAAGTTTTCGCTCTCTGAGCAGTACTTAAGGCTAATAATGTAACAGTCTTATAAGTAAGGTGTTTCAATTTAGATATCAAGATTTTTCTAAAAATCTAGAATCAAGGCTACGTCCCATGTTATAGCATATTTTGGACGTGCTGGTCTTAAATTTGACACACCTTTCAAAAACCTGATAACATCAACGTGTTCTCCAACTTTTTCCTTTAAAATTAAGGATAGAACGCTTCTACAGGTGTTTAATGTGCCGTAAGACGCTCCTTTTTAGAAGATCTCAGTAAAAAAATTTATTAACAACGAAGGCATAATATTAAAAAAATCATTCTTTTGATTTTCGCAAAACAATTTCCACTGTTTTAGAACACAGCCATACTGTTTTAGTGTAAAATCTGTTACTGATGCTCACATTATATCTACCGCTCTTGGCATAACACCCCTATTTAAGATTGCCTGTCGGATACTCTGCTTACAATTAAAGTTAATAAGTTCGCTCTCGGATGAGTTTGAGATCACAAGATGACAACAATAATCTTTGGTTAGGGTTAAATATTAAGGGTTTATTTCGTCATGCATAAATTGTAACTTAGATGGAATTTTAGTGGCGTTGTAAGGTGGCTTGCGAGGTCGGTCAGGTGCGTGTGTATGCAAGTATCGGTCTCGGTAGCTGTCGGGGACGGTGCGGTTTTCTATTGTGTGTGTGTGCGTTCGCGATGTTCCAGTGGTCTGCTGCCAGTGTCCCGGGTCAGCTGATGTCGGCTGCGACCTTTTTCGTCGCCTGGCTTCCTGGGGAAGTGTCGGTCCGGGTTCTTGTATGTGAAAGTGTGTGTGTGCAGGGTATAAGGGTCGTGCGCATCTATTTGGCAAACCCTGAAAGGTATATTTTCGCGAGGTCTCGGGGCTGCCTTAATACGAGACGCGTGAACTAGTGGGATCAGCTGGTCGAGCGGCTTCCTCTTGTTCCAATAGGATTTATTTTCATGGGCTTAGGTGGGCGTGCGGTTTATGTGTGATAATGCATTATCACAATACTTTGGTATACTATATATAATGATTAGGGCGGACCTTAAGAAAACTATGTTCAACTAATTTTTTCATTCGTATTACAGTTCTTCTCATAAAACGATGCAATGCAGTGGATCCCTCAGGAAATTCGACAACCTCTTGGAAAGGAATTTACAAGATAAATATTGGTTATGCCATACAAGACGCGAGGAGAGATCGATCAGCATCAAAAAAGAAAAAGACTAGACATAGAGAACGTCGAGGAAACTAGGCTGATATTTTTTTATGAATCGTTTTTCATTTTAAAGCACAATTTTTTTAATTCTTTTTAATGCGCGATATTTCAATTCGTTTTAATACGCAATGTTTTAATTTGTTAATGTGTTCTCAAAATAAATGTAATTCGAACTTTTCCTCCATTCATCCCTGAACTAAACAATTAAATTTTCAGTGGAAATTGAAATCTCAAATTTAAAAAAAATGTTAATTTGTTCGTCATAAAACTAATTAACATTGATTAATTACTCCATTGGCATTGCTTTTATGACGGACAGATTTGCGCACAATATACTGCGCAGCGTACAAGTGCGTATGACCAACACCGTATAATAAGGTCTCTGCTTGTATGCGGAAGTGTCCTTGTGCAGCACTATTTTCTGTGCTCTCGTTCGAGTTTGAGCTTCTTATGCCTTTCTTTCAAATAAAGTGCCTTTATCTTCGACTGATGCGCATATTTATTTTTCTTTCACCTGTCTGCAATGCCGTTCCGTTCAAGAGAATCAGCGGAGCGATCGGAGCAGGAACACTCTTCAGGGGAAAAATCGGCAATCAACTCAATCAACATGAAAGGAGGACAATCAACAGAAAAGCGAGTAGAAGAAGTAGAGATGAGCATTATCGCGGATGGGTTACATCTATTCGAAGTTGAATGGCGAAAGATCTCACGAGACAGGTCAATACAGGAGTGTGTAACAAGTTCCAAGATAGAATTTTTCAAAGGACCGAAACTATGTATGATTCCACGCCAGCTACAATTCAGTGAGAGAGAATGACAAGAGCATAAAGAAGCTCTACTACGAGAAAGAGGCCATTGAAAAATCTGATCACATCAACAGCCAATTTCTTTCGCCATATTTCCTTAGACTCAAAAATAATGGCTCGAACAGATTTATCCAAAAACTTAAAATGAAGGATATGCGCACAGCTACTAAGCTAATGAGAAAACGGTGTTTTATGGCCAATAATCTCGACTGAAAAGATGTATATTACCACATATCGATCCATATCAATGTCCGTAAATACTTACGCTTTGTATTCATACGGGCACATTGTACGAATGTACTTGTCTTCCTTTTGATTTATCTGTTAGCGCATATATATTTACAAACCTGTTTAAGTTAATCTTTTATTACTTTAGCAATAGGCGATGGTGATCGTGCATATATCTTGATGATTTCTGTTTATCGTAAGTATCTTTACGGAATACTTAAAAATACTTAAAATACTTTTAAAAAATACATCACTGTCAGTCAAATTACTATAATCGCTTAGATTTTGCAAAAACGACCAGAAATGTAAGTTCGCACCTGTGCGCAGCTGTCAATTTTTGGGTTGAGTTTTATATTGGACTCCGAAACGATGTGTACCGAGCCAACAGCGGGCAAAAAGGAAAGCCTCATCAAACTTCTGAAAATTTTTAGAAAAAAACTACTGCTCGACCGTCGATTATGGGCCAGTCAATATTAAATAATTCGAAATTCTAAATAATAACGAGATCGACTAAAATAGGCAACTTCGATGCCACTATGAAACCCATGCCCGAGGTTTTGACTAGTATATAAGGGCTTTGTCCAATCCAAAAAAGAAAATAAAAATATAAATTCGGAAAAGAAATATTCTCAGATGCCTCCCTTTCAGAATAGAACCCTACTCAGGAGACGAAACAGTAAAAATTTTTTGGAATCATAATGAGCGTAAGCTTCGCGTAAACCATTTGGAATGAATTGCCGACTTTTTCGCCCTTAAATTGTTTGCATTAAACCTAAAAAAACCATGAAATTTTATTAAAATTGTATAACACAACAGCTATCGTGCCGTGTATATCAACAACATGGGTGGAACTCATGTATCGGAATTGAACTAAACCGTGTGATTTAGAGCTGATGCGAAAAACAAAACTTAACGACGTACTCATCATATGTTCCGTTGAAGGAAAACGTAGAAGCAGATCGCGGAGTCTCATATAAAAAACATAGAAGTACTATACCAATGTATGTTCTGGGCCATTTTCTCCGAGGGGCCAAGTGTTTGGGGGTTATTCAGTTATCAAAATATATTAAAATTTCATTTAAATATTTATTAAATGTTAGTAATTATTTAATATGTTTAATTAAAAATTGAAAATGAAGAGAGACAAGTGTCAGACGACTTTGCTGGTTAAAACGACTATTGACAAATACATGATTCAGACGATTTGTACACCGAACGTAAGACCAAGTTTGATGACTTATCTAGAAGATAGCTGAAATCTAGAATTAGAAAGATACCATGACTATTACTTTTGGAATAGGATTCGTAATGATGAGTTACATTAATTACCATCATTTTTCGAAAATTTTCGGTAACATTCCAAAGTTTTAATCGCCATCTTGGATTTTCAAAAAGGTTATTGTTCAATATAAACTACATATGGATATAGCTTTAAAATGAGACCTCATTCGACTTTCTACGTAACGTCAAATTTTGAACGAGGTTAATCGATTTGACAAAGAATGACCTACATACACGCACGTATATACACGTAATTTTCACTGGCTCGGATTCGCAGGTGACAACACACCAAAAACTGCAGAGAAAAGCTGTAGTTCAACCAGTGAATATTATTATTTCATTGTCGATTTATAAAAAATTGATTCTTATTCTAATCTTAATTGTTTTTTTTTCTTTTCAGTGGATGAATGAATCATTGCTAGCAAGATTGTTGGCACATTAAGTAGTATATGAAATCGATAAGGCTGTAATAGATTGAGTAAAGATGCAGCTGTATCGGCAGAAACGTGCGGAGGCGATGCGGAAAAAGCAAGAATCTGCTCGATTAGAGCGGAAAAGGAAAGCTGACCTGACCAAGGCAGAGCAAAAAGAACTTACTAAAAAGGTGAAGCAGAATCTTACAAATTTAAGCAAAGATGAATCATCAAAAGGTGAATTGATTCAATAAGAAGGGTCAAGACATAAGCAGCTGGAATACCATCAACATGTGGCAGTGGCTCTTGTGGTAGAGCACTGGCTTGCAGCTCAGAGTTCACAGGTTCGATTTCCGAATGTATCCCTTAATCTTTTTAAATTAGCCAAATACCTTTCTCTCAATTTTCAATTTGTATAATTAAACATTATAAATAAATACTAATATTTAATAAATATTTAAATGATATTTTGATATGCATTTAAATAGATTAATTACACAATCAAAACGAGACAAAGCATTAAGGTCCCTAAGCATTAGAAACTTTCGCCATCTCCAAACAGTTAGCTCCTCGGAGAAACTGGCCCAGAACATACATCACTATACTACTATATATATATATATATATACACCACAGCGCTATCGTGTCGCACAATAGCAGTGTTGGATAAAAGAAAATAAAAAAATGTTCATATCTATTAACTATGTGGTGTTAACTGTCTCGAGACGTTGACTATACGTATAATCATTAAGATCGAAGTAATCGTATAATTTCAATTCGGTTACGAGTAAGTTCGTTTGATCATTTAATTATCAGACTTTCATTATCCTATTTTATGGAAATGGATTTTTAATTTAGCTATTATAACAATTTATTTAAATGAATTGGATGGACAATCTATTTAATAAAGGAAGTACTTTAATCATTTTTAAAAGATACTCTTAAATATCCTAATTGAGTTCTGTCACCAGCTTTTTTTGTAATGTTTTAAGAGGATACAAAATCAATGATTATCTCTCAATATTACTTATCAATGTTACCTCTTCGTTTGCTGAGTCCTACTACTCGACTATCTTCGGACGCGGACGGATTTTGTTCAATCTGTGGTTAAAATTTTCATCTATTAAAACACAATAAAGAGTTTAAATGTAAACGGAAGATTTATAGTGTTTGAAAAATATTAAAAAAATTTTTTTCAATCGCTTCTATCCGGCTCTATAAACGCATAAGTAAAAAATTTTTTTTTATGAATCTATTGTTCCTTTGTGCTAATATCTTAAAATATAAAGGAATATATCGTTTAGTAAATATATTTCCTTATATAAATGCGTGATTACACATATGTACATTAGTGCTATTTGGAATGAAAAGATTCAATATCTGTCCACATATTTGGACACAAGAGGCTTAAATTTCAAATAAGTCAAATAGTGAAGCAAGAGTGCATATTTCAAAATGGCTTGGAATAATGTCTATTTTAACAATTCCATAACTCAAACTAATCATTCAATAGAGCTCACATTACGTACAGATAATATATACGTGAAATAGTCTAAAATCCCTACAAATCAGTCTTTCTGATCAATTCAGTCAAAAACTATCCTTTTTTTAGTTTTTAATTTTTTTCTTGGCGCGATATAGTCCGATTCGAATGATTGACTCTAATTTTTAAGATAATTCAATGACCAATAACTGTTTTTAGACTTTACTCTAAAAGTTTCAGTTTTAAACGTGACAAACACATTTTGAAAATTTTAAGTTCTCTTTAAAAATGAATTAACAAAAATTGAAAATTAGAAACATACATTTATAATTGCTAATGCCAATAAAAATTATTACGCTATCAATTTGTCGTTAAAAATGTGCTAAAAATGTCTTATTTGACTGGCCTGTATAGGAAAGTGGTACTCCCACTCTTTCGTTCAATAATAATCCTAGCCAGTTTAGACGAGAAATCGCAGTTCTGGCGGTCAAAGAAGCTTAAGATTGTCCTAGCCTCAGTCGTACCTAGAACTCTTACGTAACCACGACGTCATAGGTTTTCGAGATGGATTTTTAAAAAGAAAAGATTAATGTGAGAACTAAAAACAACTGATTTTATTTTGAAAATATAACATGAAATACTACACGTAGGAGTACAAACAAATAACTTATCATTAAAAATTTATTGTTACGATACGAATTCTTATTTTGATCCGGCATAAAGTTGAACCACGAAATCAATACTGTGGCACCAGTGGTTTCTGAACCTCAACGTAACACTTTTCTCTCCTGGCCCACCAGCGGTAATGACTGCGTAACCACCATTGCCATCAGTTGCTTGGTCCAAAGCTCGAACTTGAGAGATGGTGTAACCTTCGGTGGCATAGAATGTCTTCTCTAAAATGAGTCTTCTGCTAAACCAGCTAGGTTGCACGGAAATGTTTTCCTGATAATCTAGCAGGTCGTTGGTTTTAAGCTCTCCGACAATAAGGTTATTTTGCTCAGCTTTGACTTGATTCACTTTCAACTCTTCGGTGTCGATCGATGATGAGTTTACGGTGACTATGGCCAGTGCTAAAACGATGGCTATGAAATTCAGACTTTTAATTGATGCCATTTTCAGTAATGTTTCACCTTTCGAAGCGAGTACTGTGACTATTTCATAAGCAGCTAGCGTTTTTATACCAGTCTATCATTTAATTTCACTAATCTTAATCTTATCAACAGTACTTAGTGGTTGGCTAGTTTCATATCCCATCAATTGAAAATTGATTTTATAATACCGATTAATATCATTACCATTCTAAATGTAATGAAAATATCATGCGAAAACTTAATTGTATATTGATTTAGACTACTATTGTACTAAAAACGGGTACAGAAAGCTTTTTTATTTTCTGAATAAGTTACATGTTTTGGCAAAATATTAAATATTAGTAGATAACTCTACGACATAAAATATTTCCCTATTTTAACAGCTACAGATTTGATTTTTTCGAAATGGTATCAGTATAACTTTCAGGTAAAAATATTTTATTATAACATGTTTCTTAATTTACTCGTTTGAAATTGCGAATAGGGTGACAGGATAGGAAGATTAGATAATTAATCAGATAGTCAAAATCTAAAGAATTCTCAAAAAAAATATTAGCTCTATAACGTCAATAACTTTTCGAATATTGTATATTATTTACTTTACAATTTGAGGAATATTTCAACTTTTTATTTATAAATATATTTTCTGTTATGTGATTAGCTATAAATAGTGCTGTTCGTTAAAAAACTATTCAAATAAAAAAAAAAAATATATATATATATATATATATATATCAAAATTTTTCCATGATATTTTATACATTTTTTCTATCTACTATATGTGGGCGGTTGACAAAATTTTCTTTTTTATAATTTTTTTTTGTAATTTCGTGTATTATACGATCACTCATTAGTTTATGAGTTTGTACCAGAGAACTGAATCACTTTTGCATAAATATCCGACGTATCAGCGTATGATTGCCGAACGAATCAAAATATGCCGAACTAACGCACGTGGATTTCATGAAATCTGACCTGGGTGTAACCCGATTTTAGTAATCACAATTCTACTCACTTTTGTGATAACTTTTTACTTATCAGCAACATGAACGCTTTAGAGGTACTTATAAAATAAAAACTTCAGATTTAGAGATAAAACTGATAGTCACAATAGTTTTCACATATATTTTTATATACACGTTATTAAGTCAAAGTTTAAACTATTGCATTCATTACTTTGTAACGAAATTGAAATTGAAATCGAATTAACGTTAGTTGGATATATTCATAACGCGTAGTAACAATTACTATTATTATTATGACGCGCTGTATGTTATTCAAATATAGATACTGTAATAAATCTACTATCACTTGCTACTGAATTTGAGTAATATTTCAAAAATCCATCTAGAAGGCGTTCAAAATTATAATCAAATAGCAATAAATCTAAGACATTCTGTACCATTTGTTATGATTGCATCAATGCAATGTATATTGCGCTGACTGCCAAGTGTTCAAGTATTTAATAAAGATAGCTATCATAAAATAGTGAGCAGACCTAATCGAATGATTCGTTAATTAAAATGTTATTCGATTCAATGTTTTTATCGCATTTCAATATCAAATGTGCCACTTAATGATAATCCAAAATGAAAGTCGTACGATTTACACAGCTGTTATCAATCTGAAAGCTTCCAGACAGATCGGCAGCACGTAACATTTTTACAATTAATGATTGCCGAAAATTCATGTTTTTTAACAATTCTTAATAGTGTGAACCTGAATGATAACACTGATTCAATAATTTTGTTGTTTTAGAAGTAAAGACATATAAAAGGTGTTACTAAATTGGCTTGGTTAACATAGAAATTGCTTTTGCCATTTACGTTTTGATCAAGAGTACAAAAAGAATTTCAGCATTCGCAAAACTTTTTAATAAACGGGATAATTCGTCAAGTTATTCTATACTAGAAATAAAATTATAGATGATACCGATTCTTTAATATTAAAATTACATATTACATATTAAAATTAAAATTACATACTACGCGATGACTACAAAGTCAGTGATAAATTTTATTCAAAGAAAATATTAGACTTTGGACTCTTATCGATGCTTTTATCAGGTTCGCTCTACTAGCTTTTTCGCGAATATAAAACACGTGCTTACCTGATGGAGACTTCTGGATTTTTTCAAACATGACACATAATTGAAATAGATATTTATTAACAAGTTTATTATTACGATAAGACATTACTTAACGAAAAACTGCAATAAAGTTAATTTTAAGAATTATTTCATTTTATTAGCAGCTAGAAATATATATAAACACACACACACGCGCGCGCGCGCGCATGCTTTATATATATATATATAATTTACCTGAACTTATTGATTCATTTTTTCGTACGTACGTATTTTATGTGTTGTAGCCAATTATTATACGGTGAATGTTCCATGAATCAACAGAACTTGTAGTGTATTTATAAATAGCTTATGTTATAAAAATTGTATTATTGTTTACCCATAAATAAAAAATTCTCTGAAAATATTTATTAATATCAAGTAAACTTTCAGTTTAATAAGATTAAGTATTTATGATGATCTTCTAAACTTTCATAATAGTAATTTTGAAATGTATTCTAACTAGGTAACAACTGCTTATTTATAAACTAATCAAAAATTTTTTAACTTATATAGCTATCACTTTCAAAAAACATAAGACTACATAGAAAGTTTTTTCAAGATTCGTATTTTCATTGTATGCTATTAATTTGCACATTATTTTAGGATATATAAATTTCACATTTAATTTGTGATATTCTACAAAATTTGTTTTTATTAACAAAAAAGTAATTTTCAAAATAATTGTGTCAGAATAATCGATATTTTTCATGTTATTTTGTAATAAAATAATTTCAACCTAGCTTTTTCAATTGTATCTCACAAATAATACTTCTCACTAGTCATCAGCTATTGACGTACCTGTATGACGTGTCGCATATGTATCTATTGATATTGAATATTTTAAATAATTACCTCGGTGGTACTTATTTCTGAACATTTGAGTATTTTATAAACGACTTCAATAAATACGTCATGAAACAAGCTTCAAGAATGTCCTGAATTAAAAACTAAAAAGAAATTGCAATTCTCTTAAAAATTGCATGGTTTAGTAACGACTTAATACTTTTTTGGTCTGATTGATAATACCTGGGTATTATACATATATAATAATAATATAATAAAACGGCACTTCAGTCTAAATAGTAATACCTCTGTCATTAATAAAGATGTTATAATTTTATTTATAATCATACGATTTCGCTGGAAAATTAATTAGGCATTTATATATACCAAAGTAATATTTAGAAAACTAGAAAGCATTACTATTCATTATCGCAAATAGATAAATAATTAATCTTAATTATACATTTATGCTCACGAAACTGTCGACGTTAAAGTGAAATAAGCTTTTATTTGAATTAAAAAAATATATAAAAATTATTTTTTTTAATATTTCATTACATTATTGTTTAATTCAAATCTTAAGATTCTATGTCTTGTTAAATTGTAAATACATTATATTTTGAGTTTATCATTAGTCATAATATTACGTATATGACAATCATGTAATATTTATAGATAAGTGGCGACCATTTATCGTAAAGATTCAAGAAAAACTAAATTTTTCTTATTTTTAAGTTTCCTAAATTGTTTTTTTAAATTCATAAATATAACTAACGCAGTAACCGCTATGAATAGCTTAACATAAATTTTATTGGTATTGGATTCAATAAGTACTCATTAAGTACATTGGAATAATTTTTATTTCAATAAACAAGGTTTTTAGTGTATTGTGAACGTACAAAACATTGGCTTTTTAAAAACTAATCTATATTTTTATTAGAGACAATCTTTATACTCATGTATAATATTTCAAAAATATGTCCTTAATCGTCTCTTTTTTCTAGAGTACAAGTATTATTTTAATCAATAAAAATTGATAAAAATTATTGTATTTTTGTGTCTCTAACTGAAGAACATTTATGAACTTAACGTATTTTTCATTGCGATTTAAATTATATAAAATAATACAAGTTATAAATAAAACTTCTTAATATAATCGCTTCAAGCGCTTACAGCTTCCGCGTCGTCAGAACCTTCTTCCTTCTCTCCATTCGTAGCTTCTACTACTGATTTTGTATTAGCTGCTGCTTTGCCTTTCTTTGCAGGAACTTTGCCTTTGCCTTTCTTAGCTGGTTTAACTTCACTTTTGTCTTCTGGTGTTCCCTCTTTTCCATTTTCTGTTGCCTCTGATTCAACACCATTTTCTTTCGACTCAATGTCTTCATCAGCTTCTTTATCTTCTTCATCTTTGCCATCAGATTCGGGTGTTCCAGCTTCATCTTTTTTTGCAGCCTTACCTTTCTTTGCAGCTAAAAAATGATAAAATATTACTATGATATAATATTCTTTGCACTCTCCAATTGAAATATTTGCGATTCGCATACTATTAATAAATTTTTACTTTGATATATATTTTAGATATTAATGTTTTTCAAATCAAAAAGTAATTAATGAACTAATTTGAATTCAATAAAGTGAAAGGCAGTTTTGAATAATTCTAAATAGATAATAGAATAAATTTATCAATTTTTATAGATAGATGCATTAATTATTAATTACACAAAAAATTTGTAATTTATAAGAAATGGAATCAAATATGAAATTTACGTATCAGTATTTCAATAAAGAATAATATGATGAAAAACCAGCAAAGTAATTGCAAAAACGTAACATTTTATAGATTGTAAAGAAATTGTGTTAGTAGAGACTAACAGTTTGAAAATAATATTAAATAATGAACATTTCAACAAGAAAGCGATAAGAATGAAATATTTGGTTTTAAATCAAGAAATTTGAACGAGATAGAATTTGTTGCAAATTCTTTGAAAATGTCAACTCAAACTATACCTTCTCCTTTGCCAGGTCGACCTTTTCCTTTCTTAGATGCAGGAGAACTTTTTTCTTCTGTCTTTACTTCATCTGTTGAAAAAATAAATTTGTAAAATATTAACAATACTTAATTAATAGTGTACTAAAGAAGTTTATGTAAATTAATTATAAATTAATAAAATCTTTCGATTCAAAATTTACCTTCTTCCTCTTTCTCAGCAGCAGGTTCTGCTTTTTTTGAACCTTTGCCTCTTCCTTTCTTTGCTGGTTTTTCTGGAACTTCTTCTGCTATTTCTTCAGTCTTTTCAGAGTCCTCTTCTTCTTCATCTTCAACTTCAGCTTTCTTTGGTTGTTTCTTACCTGCAAGCTTCTTGTCAGTAGATTCAGCTTTTTTTGTTGCGCGTGGCTTTGCTACTGCTTTAGGGGGTTCTGGTTCGGCTTTCTTATTTTTAGCTGCCCTTGGTAACCTTACTTCCCTAGCACTTGGTTCTTCATTGGATTGAACTTTTTTCTTCTTGGCTGCAGATACATCATTGTTTTCCACTGCTGGAGCTCCCTCCGTAATTTCAGTTTCAATTCTCTTAGCTACTTTGCGTGGCATTGCTGAAAATTCCGAGTATTACTTTAGATTTCATATTTTCAAAGTATATTTTTATACTTTTACAAAAATTTTTAAAACTGCAATAGTGATACAAAATTTAAAAAAATTCAAATTGGTTGCAATTACGCTCAAAGATATATACTTCAACCAAGTCAATAATGAAACTGGAACATCTTGGAAACATAAAATTATAAATAGGTGTAACCCCTTTTCAAATTAATTTAACAAATTTATATATGTAATAAACATATATTATCAAAACAAATACTTACAAAATATAGATTAATTCCTGTACTTATGAAAAGATGAGAAATATTTTTCAATAATTCTAAATACATTTTTTCAACATTATAATTACAATGAATTTGTAAATATATTTATTTATGTTAGAATTTATTAAAAATAATTAATTGTCAATCTATAAATGTTAAAGTTAAAATGTATCTGTTCCAGTTGTGACTTAAAATAAAATATAAAACCAAAAATCTTATAAATTAAAACTATATTAAAAGCTAGATTTTTGTGTAATAATCAATGAAATATATAGTATGAGACTCTATAAACATCACAAGCACACTAATATTAACAGATTATCTATGTATATTTTTTTAGTGTCGTAAAAACTTGATTTAATTTTGATAAAATGAAAATGTCTGAATAGAGTAGAACAAAATGATGGCAATACGTATACAATAGTTTAGAATAATTTAAAGAATCAATATCACTGATAAAAAAGTTTAATTGCACAAAATAGTCACTTAAAAAACAATGAAATATGATACATTTTTTAACTTTTTTACAGCTATTTATTATTTTGCAATTTGTACATTAATTGTAGGACAGACACGGTAATAATTGATTCTTTTCAAGAATACGCATAACTCGAACGTCACAAGATCGGACATCTTCGAAAGCGCTACGCATTACGCGCTCAATCGCTTTTCACCGAAAACCACTTTCCCGCCTGTCACTTTTCCAAGAAAATAGTAATCGCTTCTTACTGAATATTGTTTGAACAGCAAAAACCACTAAGGTTTGACAAATATTGTACATTTTAGGGCAACTAAGAAAAAACGTTATAGTGAAATTACTTACTTAGTTTTTCGCTACTCCCGCCTTTTTGTATACGTCGTGTAGCTAACTCCTTTTTTGCTTCCTCGTCTCTGCGACGGAGGAATCTTCAAACAAATTGCGTCGAAGCGTAAAGTTGATGAACGTCCTTTTGAATAGCTCGTCAAATTCAGGAAAAGTCAATCTGTTCAAAGGATCCTACAAGCAAGCAAAAAAAACAAATGGTTTCGCGTGACTGCGCTGGGTTGGCGTTTCGTTTGATACGCCGGTCGCTTTGGTCGTGGCAACACTTCCTTTTTGCTCATTTTTCTTCTCAACGAAAACTACATTATTGCGATGTAACGTGAAAAGGATTTACTAAAAAATAATGAAATTACCTTGCAAAAGATGCTGGCGATAAGGTGCCGTTGAAATAAGAATGAACAAGACTTTCGACTCTTCGACTGAGAATTTAATCCACCCGTAGAGCTGAAGCCGGCGCCGGTAGAGAAACGTTCACTCGCGGTTCGCTCGTTGCCCTGCTCGTTCTTGCCTTTTCTCTCCCTCTCCCTTCCGCATGCGCGCGCTTCAACCGGACACGAGTCACGTGGTACACGTTTTCATGAGCAACGCCAGTCGCAACATTGCCACATGAGAATTAGAGCTCAATGATTGGTCGAGAAAACCGGCGACTGACAAAGCTCCCCATACCTAGTTTAGGTATTCTAATTTTCTAGAATTTTATTTTTTTCTCCATCTCATGATTTTTTATTGTAAATTTTTTCCACTTAACTTATGTCAAAAAATGTATTCGTTATATAGGAATAAACTTTCTTATTACTTTTATTCCTGTTTTCAGGGAATTCCAAAAATTTTGCATCAAATTAAAAATGTCGCAAGCGCGGGATCCAATAACGACAACAAACTAAATGACATCAGTTTTCAGTAAACATGTCCTATAATATATCGTTCATAGGTTGTTTTCATGATCCTCACTTCGCTATAAATTAAAAGCAAATATCTACAAATATTAATTTTTCATCATTAATATACGAGACATAAAACCATGACTATATATAGATTTCAAATTATTTAATTGACATCCAGTTCTTTCAAGACTCGCGTAGTTGTATGGTACAAATTATAAGACCATAATTCCTGTAGATTTTTCGTTACACGATGAATAATTTCCGAATATTGCATGTGTGCTTTTAAGCAAAACGTAATGCGATTATTATTGATGAAATATTTTACTAATATTTTTTTAAGTTAAATCTTTTAATTTTATGAATCGTGAAATTTCAGTTTATTAAGAATTAAAATTTTGCTCAGTTATTGTGTATATCTTTTTGTTATTTTCGAACGCACAGTGTGAACATTACTGGGAACGACTATTGAGAGGACTAAAGGAGAAGATAACAAATAACAATAGATGATAACGGATAACAGAACACCGTACGTTGAGTCACTAGTCATAACATTCACATCTGCTATAGTTTTCAAGATGTTGCAATTGTTAAGAAAAATAAGAATGATGTCCGTGATACAAGAAATTTAAAATCTTTGAATTATGACGCGTTTTAAAATACAAAAACTTCAGTTCTGTGTTTTTCTTTCGATTTTTCTTTTGTCACAAGTATCTACCTGCAATGGAAATTTGCGAGAAAAACATCAAGAACTAAAAACAGTGCCTTTAAATGAAGAAAAGAAAATTAACGAAGAATTTTCAAAAAATGTTTCACAGGATGCTACACAAAAAATGCAAACTAATGCTTCTGTTATTAATAACTCAAAAAAAACTACATTTACTATAACCTCCAATGAATCTTCAAAAACTGCAATTACACCTGTATCTACGGCTCCAGTAAATAAAATATCAAATTTAATTATTTAATTGCTACAAATATTAGTCCTATTTTGATATTAGGTATACATTTTTTAGTATATAGCAATCCAAGTCATAATACAATTAAATTTAATTTATGCAAAACTGACTCATGAATATATTTACAATAAATTATTAATAATATATAAATAATATAATATATCTTGCTTGATTCATAGAATAACAAGAAAGAATAATTTTTTTATTGAAAATTTTTTTAATTTTTAAAATATATTTTGATATATCTTAGATAAACAATGAAACACACAGACCTTCTGTTAATACTGGAGCACTTTGGAGAGGAATTTTGGTTATTATTGGACTCAGTGTACTTGCTGTAGCTTATCTGGTTTTTCGGAACTTTAGGTAAGTATATTTAATTAGGTCGATATATAAAATATGTTTAGATATATCCTTACTTGTAAAATCATAGATTATAATTTCGTATATGCAGGCTAAGCAAAACTCGTGCTCAAATGGTCAGAAAGTATGGTGTTCTTGCTCATAGACAAGATGTAGAAATGAGACCTTTACCTTTAGATGAAGATGACGAGGATGACACTACTGTATTTGATGCAAGTAATATTCCTGTACATGGGTTACAATCTCAACATTCTTAAAAAAAATATTTTGTTTATTTTATTTTTTACAAAATAAATTTAGCATTTTTTTATAGAGTATGAATAAATAAAATTTTGAAGGATTGTACAATATCTAAGACTGAGCAGAATAATGTAAAGTTGATGGTAAAAAGGCATTTTGTAGTTTTTTCCTCTTTCTTTTATATAAAGAAAATAATGTGATACAAATGTTATTACATATTTTATAAAATCATTTAAAATTGATGTTGTGCCTACAAAGCAAACTTGATAATACAACTGGTCTTTATCAGAACTAAATGTGATACATATATATACAATCATTTTAACAATTCATTTAGATATAAACTGTTTGTGACAATCGCTGAACTTTGTACTGCAATAAAGAGCTCTCATATTTAGTATAAATATCGTTGTTGAAAATAAGTAAAACAGTTCATGTACATTTTGTTCAAGTTTTGAATAATAAAAATATAACAATAATATATATTTTCAAACTATATGTAAAGTAATCGTTTTTTAATAATAAGATATTAATTAATACTCTTTTTAAAAATGTGGTTATAAATATCCTTTATCGGTTGCATGCAATATTATGTCTGCTAAACGACGTCTTTTTTCGGAAGTTTCTATATTTTTCACAGTCCACACATCTGCTATGTCCATTTTGTCTTCTTTTATTAAACCCAAGTCAAATACCTCTTCTGTTGAGAGTAAACTAAAAGTTACAGATTCTATCCCAAACGAAACTCCATGGATAAATTGTTCTTTGACCTAAAAAATATTGTTAAAAGAACTTATAAATGATAATATATAAATATTCTTAAATTTCAGAGTTTTTACAATTTACCTCTTGTAAAAATAGTTCCCAGGGATAGATATTTTCTGGTTCAGAACCTAATGCTTTAATTGAATTTGACAATTCATTGTGATAAATTTTTAAAAGATCATCATAATGTTCATTCCTTAGCGCCTGGTCAGTGCACGAATACATGAAAAAAGCTAAATCTAATACTGGACTACAGCATCTAGCTAACTGAAAGTCAAGCATCAGTACATCAAATTTCCCTAATGAGTTTAATTTTATTAAGAAGTTTGGGGCCCATGAATCTCCTTGATTAATGACAGAAGTAAGTGCATCAGTCCTTGTGCAAAATTTAGCACTTTTTTTATACAATTCTCCTGGTGTATATATATTAAATTGTCTTTCCCCTTTGCTACCTGGATATTCTTTTGCTAATGCATCTTTGGCAATATCTACTAATTTACACTGTAAATTTTACATTTGTAAATACAGACTGATATGTTTGGAAATTTAATAATTTGCAAATATATGATTATTCTTACATGAAATCTTTTGTACCAAGTTTCATATAAATGATCTGAAAAATATGTTTCTGACAACTTGGAGGCTCTATTTTGGTAATCTTCTTTATTTTGATCTTTATAAGCAAATGAAACTCCATGAAATCGAGCCATTGCTTCTAAAATATAACGACATTGTTCAAAAGTAAGGCAGCTTTCACGTGCCACTGGTCCGAAACCTTGAGGACTAACATCTTCTAATGCTATAAAATCATTTTCTCCATCTAAATGATATGCTAAACACTTTGGTATAAGCCATAGTGAAGACTGATTCTTCAGATGTAAGAATTCTTGAAATTTGGCTGCAATCTTTCAAGTCATTATTTGCCATAATTCTGAATGAATTCACATAATTTTAAAATAGTTATATAATAATATTACCTCAACATAGAATGTTATTTCATTGGCAAAAAAATCAGTACTTCTATATGTTGCCCGTCGTCCTTTGTTGTTTGGTAAAGATTTTACAACTATTTTGACTTCCTTTATTTGATTTTTCACCTTACACTTAATTGCAACTCGATCTACAGTTGAAAGATAGCTATCTCCTTTTTTACTAGCATCGCTGAATTCCCATGATAATATTGCAATATCTTTAATATTCTCATTCAATTGTTTAGCAACAATTTCTTTTAATTTATTTTCAGTAAAAAATTTACTGACACTTTCAAGTAAATCTTTGCTCATTGTAAATTATATGATGCTTTCATTAACTATATATTAAACTTACAACACTTGTCTATTAATTGAATTGTATGGCTAGAATTCAATATATCTTGCATAAAGTAATATATAGGGTACAGACATTAGTAGTTAACTGGTCACTATAGTAGTCGACCACTTTTATTTTAACTTTAATTAAACAAACTTCCGTAACGAAGCAAAATAATTAGTTAGATATTAATCTATAAAACCTGTTTGACCTACTAAAACTTGTTTCGTTGCATATAAAGATCAAATCTATTCATTTGACAGTATTAAAAAATGGTACAGCCACCGACAAGTGATTCTGCACGAACATTTTAAATTTGACTACTGGAATCAAAGTAAATATAGATTCAAAAATTATCAATTATATTTCCTTATTTTTATTTATGTAGTAATATATATATCATATCAAGAATGAAATCTCTGTCGATAATTTCGAAAACAGTTTTTAATTTGTTTTTAGTAGTCAAATTCAAATCATTCCTGCAGAATCCATTGCCGCTGTATATATGTTTGGCTGCCGAGACCGTCACATATACACGTTTTCATATAGACCAGTTTAACCAACTATCGGCCATTAAATGAAACGCAAATGAAGTGATTTCTATTTGTTTTATTTAGTCATGTAATCTTTCTAAATTGTGCTGCAGTATACATTGAACAAATCGTGATATATTATTTTTTTCTTTTAATCTTTTGAAATTGTATCTACAGTTTGAATGTCAACTGGTCTAAGTGACCGATTACTGATGCCTTTTACCCTATATGTATAATAACTTATTTAATAGCTAATCAAGTAATTATTGAAAGAATATTTATAATACCTGAATTTCGAAACTAATCTTTGCAGATAATCATCTATAAATCACAATATGATTTGTTACACTATACGTGAAATATATAATAAATCTTTTCTATAAAACAGGAACACAACTGGAGTTCTTTCAAATCTGTTTTTTTTAGAAAATACTTTTTTTAATACGTAAAAGCTTGTATTTGTGGTCTCCTGCTATTGGGACGGAGAAAAACTAGTGGCGCCCCCGATTAGGAGTAAATTTTGATACTTTAATTCCATTTCCATAATTCGTACTATATGGATAACATTTAGTTCCGTGGTGGCCACGGGAATAAATGGAGTATGTTGCCATAAGAGCCTATTCAGCCTGTGTAAATCCACGACAACGGCAGGCCTTCCTTCTCCAACCGTATGCTGAATCCCAATTAATTATCTTAGTCGTGGCACCGGCTGCATACGTATGGTCAGATGATTCAAAAATTTAAAGTGCAAATAATTTGTGATGGTGTCGTGGTCCATCCATCCTCATCAAATAGTGTTAACCATAAGCGGCAGCAAAATTTGCTCGCAGAATACCTGTATAGCGGCCCAAACACGTATTTCGAGTGTATGATGCAAGTATTACCGGCCGTCAAGCCTAACTAATGAGTACAGTCGATAACACCAGGACGAAAATAGTTTCTGCTTTACCAATTTCGTTCTTCTTCCCATCATCTCTCGCAAGTAAGCCGTGTGGCGTGAATGCAGAAGCGCGCTAAACGGAACCGCGGTATGATGCGTGTACTACACGAAAATATTGATTGTTTCGGAAGGCGCAAATTTTAAATACGAAGATAAGTGATTAAGTTGCGTCCATAACGCTCCAATCGGAACATCTAGACTTATCCATTGGTTCTTCGATGGGGTCATTAATTAAATTGATATAAAAATTACGACAGCTATTGTACGATGGTAAAAAAGAAGGAAATAATAAATATGATATAAAAATATTTTATTAGAAACTATGAAATAACATTGTTTACATTTGTTGATTATATCTTATTTCAGTTATTTACATTTTGCAACAAAAATATCTTTAAGCTAATTTGCCCCGACCAACCCCTTACAACAATATAATTATTAAATGTTGTTTTGAAAACCATAACTATGAATCTTATATTCTATTCATTCCACACTTTAGTCAAATTCTAAAGCTGTAATTACTATATCTTTCCATCTAATAAAATCATCTATGATTTTATTATCATTTCACGACTACATTATACTACTACTACGACTATTACTACTACTACTGGTTGTCACTGCTAAGAAAGCTAGTGAAGCAGGCTATCTCGAAAGACTGTGTTCTTTTCCAGTCGAGCATGGCTTTTAAGCACTATGGTGGCGCTGAAAGCAGCGGTTTCGGCGTTGTAGGCTGAAGAAAGGATAGTTATACGAAAGAGTGGGGTAGAGGTTTTATACAATTTAAATTCATAGATAAATCGTAACAAATGCCAGACAAAGAGAGATAGAGAGAAGCACCTACACTATTTGGAATGCATCTAGCCAACGCACCTCAAGCTAGAAATGCTACGAGAGCGAGAGAGAGAGAGAGAGAGAGAGAGCAGCATCCACACTATACGGCGTATGCGTCTAGCAAGCTAGAGAAGCTACCCTCTCTCCAAGGGCCCACACTTAGCCAGCATAAGCTTACTAAGCGCTCTTCTGTCGAAGGAGAGTGAGAGAAAGAGAACAACATATAGCTTACCAAACTAGAAACCAACGCTCAGCAAGAAGTCTCAAAATTTTGACACTCAGCGGGAGGTGTCAAAGGTACATCAATTACGTTTTTAATTTTGGCGCCCGTAAGCCGATTTTTAACCCTAACCCGGTTATAATTAGAATTGATGTAATTATGGTAAACATTTAGGTTATATTTCAAAAATTTATTGATTTTGATACACTTTTTCTTATAAATATTAATAAAGAAAACCAAACTTTTTCATAAAAATAAAATGATTAAAATAAATTTAACAAATTAAATATAAAAATATAACTTAAAATTTGTATCTATTTAATTGTTAAAAGTTATGTTACAGTTTTTGAAAATGAAAATTCCTTTGGAAGTTCTATTAGTCTTATTTTTTTGTTTAAGCATCTGCTATAAACTGAGTGTTTAAAACTTCATCCAATTCTTCCTTCTCCTCCTCCCCTCTCTAACATTTTCTAAGGCATGCATTATACTTTTTTTATAGTACAAAAAACTGCCACGTAGAGGGCTCTACTCGTCCTGCGACATAACAGCTGCTGTACTGTTGAGGGGCCAGGCTCCTGGACTATAATCCGTGACTATAATGGCTATTATAGTCGAGGACGCTAGACTACCATGAGTCATTATAGTCCAGGAGCCTCCTCCGCTATACTAGACTACTTTCTACGCTGAGCATGCTCTACACGTAAAAAGCTGCTTACGGGCGCCTAAACTAAAAAATTGTATACATTGACGGTTTCCTTTGGCGGCTCCTTTGTGTCCCAGGGCATACATTGCTTATCTACTAAGGCATAACACTCCGGTTTCAAGCGGGGGAAAAGCTTCAAATAATAATCGTCACGTTGAGACCTCCTCCAGATCGTACAGGCAGTGGGCACACAGAATAAACATGAAATAAACAAGCTCACGCACTCGTCACACACTCTGACAAAGAATAGCGACAGTACAAGATAAAGGCACCAAAGTCACGCTAAATGTTGTGGCTACTCATAAGGTTACGTACGTGCGGTTTAGCTAAGACAAACTGATTCATATTCTTCAACCCAAACCCTCAATCGTCTCTCACCGTTATATCTCGCGCTGCGCGTTTCTCACCCCACACGTTGGGCCGCCGCATTGGTTCCGACAACGTCCCCCCCCCCTCTTTCTCTCATACGACACGAATGTCATTTTGATATTTGTAAAATCTTGGCTGCAAGAAAATGTCAATTTCCAATTCTCTGGCTTTAAAATTGTTGCACTCTGTCGAAGGGCCTACTGGCAGATAAACAAGTGTCAAATTATCACAAAAACGCAACAACTTCATCGGGCGACCTTTTTGTGTCCCAGGACATACATTGCTTATCTACTTGCCTTTCTATCTCTTTTCTTATTTTTCTTCATATTTACGCCAGTGAGCATGCGCAAGAGATGACTGCGAGAAAAGGCCTCTTCGTGTCTTATCTTACGTCCAAGGAAAGGATCTGCCCGATTCTTGGAAAAATGTGGGAAAATTCCATAGTGATTGTAAAACCATTGACGATAAGTTCTTACGTAAGAACTTACTATCAATGGCTAATTCTTAATTCCAAAAAACACCCACAAGTACTTACGTAAGAACTTCTGATATCTTACGTTAGTTTTTATGCAAGTTCTTAGGGTAAGTTCTTCCAAAAGAACTGACTCTCATTTTTTCATGAGTGCTGTTCATACTACGGAACAAACTTAATTCCGAATAGGAGTAAGTAACGAGTAGATGAACACATCAGCAAGGTACCACTATTCTTGCACCCCGTGTGAGCTATTGCTTCCTGTTAGCCATGTCCATTGTAGTGTTGCTGCTAAGAGCATTAACGCGACGGACAACGTTTCCAACAGGCACGATCGTGGTCGTTGGAAGTTAGTATTTACTCACTGAGGAGTTACCGGCCACCAGGACCGCCCGATATTATTATTATTCATATTATTATCATCGTTTTTTATGGTGGTGAAAATTAATCTATTTAGATATTATATAAATTTACATAAATATATTTTTATATTGCATATTATACATTAAAGAACCTTAAAGAATTCATTTGTGTTGAAAATTGTCAATGTAAAAGATTATTTAATTCTAATTGAAAAATGTTAACTTAATTTGTAATTTAACTAAAGTAACAAGATGTATTTTAAATTTTATAGTTGGACGCGCTCTCCCTGGCGCCACTGGATACTGATGTGGCTATGTACTGAACAAGTTTACGCCAATAAAAAATATTATTCATTTATTTATTCGGCGAGAATAGAAGCAAGCAATTGTGCCGCCAGAGATTTTCTGAGCGTTTGCTTACTCGCTGCTGGGTTTTCTTAAGTTAACGCTAAATTATGAGCAAGCGATGACTTAACTTCTTGTAACCTCATCACGGACGTGAACACGTCCTCTAGCTTTGTGCGCGGTCGATCGCTTCGCTATAGATCTGGCGATTCAAGCAGCAGTGGTGTATTCTTACTCATTCATTAAAGTGACTTTTAATTCTAATGCCGTTTACTTTTTCTTGCCATTCACCTAACTCAAAGACGAAACGCGTGAAAGCAGGTCTGATGCGCGTGGCGACACTATACCTGAGCTCGTTGAACTGACAAAACATTACAATTATATATACTAGAAAAGGCCTGTATATGTTTTATCAATCAAACTTTGACAGTTTCATTCAGAAAATTGTATCTATTATCTAATTATCTTAGAAATGACACGAAAAAAACATATATTTTTTCATATTTTCGTAGATTTCCGGCATTTTGGAAAAGATAAAACCTATAGAGCTGGATCAAAAAGTTTTTCTCGTAAACTATAACTATTTTGTTCACTTTTCTTCGTAGTTTAAAATAGATCAATATGCTTTATCCATAAAAAAAAGATTAAATTTCCAATTTTTTGGTACTTTTAAAATAAAATCCGTCATATTGGTTTTCTAGTGCATGGAAACGTAATTATGATTTCACTAATCGAAAGAAGAAATCTAAAAACATTATATATACAAAGTCATGATATAATATTCCTTTTTTCACTTTACTAATAAGGGATACAAAATAAAAATGAATACAAATTTTCTAATTTTAGGCGTTAATAAGTTAAATAAACTGTTATCATTTTAAGGCCTCAATAATTTAAAATGTGTATATAAAAGTGTTACTGAATTTTTAAAATTATTATATAAAAGGTTAACAAAAAAATGCCGATTACTGAATTTATTTTCACTTTAATAGATTTTTTGTTCTTTTATACAAAACATCTAACAAACACATATATGTACTTTATGGACCATGCCTTAAAACCCCACTCGATTTATGCAATAAGAAAGCGACTAAATTTATTCACTATCGTTTTTTCGATTTACAGCTATACATTGAGTCAGGCATCGGAAGAGTGTTACTTTAAAGTTGCGTTTGTGTGTGTGTGTGTGTGTGTGTGTGTGTGTGTGTGTGTGTGTGCGTGCGCGGATGTGAATGTATAATGTTTTATCAGTTGTGCTCGATGCTGCTTTCGCCTGCATGTTTACCGAGTATTACTTTACAAGAAGTTACTATATAAATATATCTAAGTCTAACTATCATTGATCAACGAAGATTTAAGAGACGATGCCTTGAATTTGATCTTTTATTTGAAGCTATGTGATCGTGATGTACTTTATTCAATTTCATGAGCAATCGAGAGGTCGCTCGTGAGATAGAAAAAGAGAAAGAGAGCAAGAATTTCAGAGAGCGAGAATACGCGTATGCTAGGCCGTGTACAATAAATTTTACAAAATCGTATGACTTCTACGCATCTAATGATAGTATTGTATTTACAGAGTCGGACCCTGGTAATCTCATTCTTTACCAAAGAAGTCGTTTGAAAATTAATTTTAATTTTAAAATGAATATAAAATTAATATTAACCTTGTGCAATGAAAATTATATGGAAGATAACATCAAAACTAGAATTCATCTCTAAAACATTAAGTAACAAATTATCTGAACTTATTAATTATGTATAAATTTATTGACACCGTTGAAAAAACTGAAATTTTAATAACAATTGACCAATCCATCAAATTATTCAAGCTAATTCTGGAATAGCTTTCAGGGCAATAAGTTATTCCATTTACATGTAACAACTGAAAAACCTCGCTTGAATATGTCATCGATATGCACTTTAAAAAATGTCACTTTCAATTTTCTCGAGCAGAGACCTCTATATCGAAAAATCTAGTTAACATCGGATAACAACTTATAATTTAACAACGATAACAATTATGTTTCACGATCGACGTGGACCTTCCTAGTATCGCAATTCTAGAAAACAGTTACATGCTAGAGTCATTGTTATTCACGTGAACGGCTTTACAAAATAAGGCTTAATGTAATAAACGTCGCTACTTTATTTGCTTTGATGATTTGGTAAACAATTACGCTGTGTCAGTAGCAAACTTCCTTGCTCTTCTCTCGTTACTTACTTTTCACTCCGTTCATCTTTATATATAATTGCGGCCTAAAAGGCATAATGTATTGGTTAAAAATAAGCGCGTCTCGTTGATGCCAATGCGTTTCCTTATCTAGTTTCATTGCGATAAGTGCAGGAAAAACATAATCACGAAGCAGTGTGTGTTGTCGTTGGTGTTTGTAATTGCTTTGCTTGTAATATACAGATTGAACAAAGAACCTGCTGCTGAGTGGGGCCACAATAACTATCCGTAATACTGACTTATATCGTGCAGTTGCTAAACACAACAACCTAAATTGTCAAGTCGAAACACGGTACGGGAGGACGAAAAAGAAACAAGGTGCGATGTTGTAGCGTTCAGCTTATAATGCTATACTTTATTTTCGTTGCGTAACACTCAAATCCTTTTGGTGTGTAAACACGCGCGCTGCGAATTGGCGTGGCGCGCTTGCGCACAGCTGCGGTCATCGCGCTTCGTTGGGGAAGTCTCATAAAATCTTTTTTATTCGAGAGAGTTTAAAAACATTATTTACAGAATGTATATAGAAAAACGTGTGGTATCGACATTACAATGAGCTTGTTGCATTAGAATCAATTTGCTTTGAACTTAACTGTTAGGACGTGAACATGATGGATCAGCGCGCGAATATCTCATTTCCGTTTTCTTTTTTCTTTATAAAAATAGAATATGCAAATGATAACATTGAAGTTGAATAAAAAGGCATTATGAGACTATTCCTAATGAAAATCTGCCGGACGTCCGCGAACGACCAGCGGGCGTCACGTGTCGGCACATTGCATAACGTTTCCTAGGAGATACAACGACAGATTCGCTCAGGAGCACACGAAGCATCGACAACTAATGGTTCATTCGGCGCATCTCCATAGCTGCAATGTCGTCCACGGATATAAGCTGCTCGATGGGAATGCACGACAGCTCTCCGCCGACCATTGACTGGGGCTGCTGCCATCGAGCCTCCCTCTCTGCTTCTTTCGCTTTCACTTCCGCCTCCCGTGCTCTTCGTTCCTACGCAATTATTTCGATCGTCATTTCGCCTCTATATATTTCAAAAAAATGCAATTATTTACTCGAGCGATACGAAAAGTCCAAAATCTATCCTTTACTTGATTTGTCAAACTAATCACACTTGATCCTTTTGAACGTCAGATTATTTTATCAACTGTTTCAATCGTGTCTGCTTTGAAATACTTCTTGTGATGTTATTATAATTATACATCTTTAAAATTATTTCTTTTATTTATCGGTTATTGCACACTGTCTTTATCGAATCTCGGAAAAGATAAGAACAAAGTTTATTAAAACATTGATAATTTGTAAGATAAACTGACTCTCGAAAGATTTATTTTATCGCGTGAGATTAATTTTACAAGCTTGCCCCTAAGTGAAATGTCGAAGACCTTTTTTAATTGCTTGTTTGAAAATTAAGCGTGATTTGCCAAATTTACGAAAAATATATATATACCTTTAACTTAAGAGAAAATATTGCGACGGATCTCGCCCTCTTCATCAGACTTTGCTTGACTCTCGTTTTCTTGGCTTCGCGTTCTTCCTTCGAGGCCTTCTCATCTTCTTGGCTAGACGTCGTCCTGCTTGAGTCTGACACTGCTCCACTGGATTCCTTCTCCATTTGCGCTTGTCGATCGCGATGCTCTTGAACGGATTCCCGATGCAGCTGGTACTGTTGCATCTGCTGTATCTGCTGTTGCTTTTCTTTTTCGCGAGCTTTTTCTCGTTCGGGAGAGGCACGAAACTTTTGATTTCTAGGTGACGGAGTCCAAGGTGGAATTGATCTACGAAACAGCGCGGGTATTAGGATAAAACATAGAGACAACAGAAAAACACGCGCAGTGATTTGTACCGGAGTAGATCGCTTTCCGAAGATGCAGCATAGTCTTTGGAAGCGACGCAATCAGTGGATCGGTGCAGGGCCATCTCATCGCCGCTATTACTTCCCGTGCCTACGCCGCTAATTTCCGAGTCGCTGGATTTTCTCCCACCAGTTTCCAAGCCCAGCCGTCTCACCCAGTCGATACCGCCGTGAGGTCCGATCGTCAGGTGATGCCCGTATTCCCCGCTTCCCGTCGAATCTTGCTCGCTCGTTAGCCATTCTCTCGTCCGTCGCCCTACAATTGTTCGTATCATTCTCGTCAATTGGGCCAATAAACCGTACGTTAAAGCCATTCTAACTTGCCGTTTCACTCGAGAGATCGATATAAATGCCTCTCATCGACTATTAAAACATTTCTAATTAAAAGCTTGCTTTAATGTTTTTTCACGTTTGCGACGGCGATGTTAAATATTTAAAAAAGGCTTCGCTTAAAAATTATTCGAATGAAAAGACGTAGTGCGCCAACCTTTTTCACCTCCGGGTATACTGCCCCTGGGAATGGAGCATATATTGATATCCCTGACCACGGTATCGCTGAGGAAGGTACTGCTGTGCTCGCTGCCAGTGCTGCCGGGAGTCTCAGCCGAGGGCCGGGTCGGCGTCTCGCAGATTCTTGGTACTGGCGTGCCGGCCCCACTGGGCGCGAGCGAGGACGCTGGTATCGATGGCGTTTCCGATTGACTACCCCGGTAGCTCAGTTTCCTCGCGCTCGCTAGTTCCTCGGCGGCGCTGCGCTGCTGCTGTTGCTGCTGCTTGCGCTCGTCCTCGTTGCCTTCGGCACCGTCTGCTGGACTCACCGCGAATCGTCCTGAGTGTTCGGGAGCAAGAGCAAAGCCGGGGGGGACGCCCGCGCCGGGAGAGCACCGATCAGACACGAGTATTTTTCTTTCTCTTTCGCTTCTTTTTCTTTTCTTACTTTATTCCTAGCTTTCATTTTCAATGCGTGGAAGTGATGGTGAACGAAAACGTGACGATGCTAATTGTGACTGATATGCAACTTTTAATCTTTTTTGCCTATGCTTCAATTTTAGAATAGCTGTTTTCGTGACTGACTGATCGCGATAACGGTTTATTTGTTTTTTGTTTTTTTTCATACAAGTTTTCTGTAATAGGCTTTTTGAGAAGTATTCGTGATGCTCTTCCGGTTTTTCAATTCAATGGTAAGACTTACTAGCACACACGATTCATGTAGGTTCTTGTATAAAAATACATAAGTTACATTTACTAGAAAGTAAAATATACATACGACAAATTTACGATAACTATAACTACTTTTACTCCACAAACTAATCAGAATGGTTTTATACTTTAAGAAAATGGAAGATAATTTACAATAGAGAAAGAGATATAGAGAGATAAGAATATTAAACATCCACTATGTTAAAACTAAATACACGTTTATTAATGAAATTAAAATTAAATAACTTTCTCATAGATCAGTTTTGTACTTGAGTACATGCAGAAGTTTTATCATTCTCATCGCAGCGTTCATAAAAAAATAACAACGTTTGGTAAAGATTGAATCAATAGGCAGAATAAGTTAAAAATATGATTTAGTTAATTAAACCCTCTATAATGTATTTTAAGTATCTTTAATGAATTGAAAAATTATATATTTGCAAGCAATAACTGAATGTATTAATAACACCACAAAAATATATATCTTCTAATATTACCTTTCCTAAAGACTATAGCATCCTTTTCTAAAAATAAGTAAAAATTTTTTCGCGAAATAAGTAACAATATCAAATTATAATGTTTCTACTACATAAGTGAATTTTATAAACAAAAATTAATTGTTCACTCATAATCAGAAAAAAATGTCAAGCATTGCATGTAAATCTAGAAATTATTATGAATGATGCGAGAAATTGAATGAAGATTGAATCTGAATATAAAAATACAACATGCAAAGCATACCTATGACGGTCGACGATTGGTGTTCGGACGGCGATGGCGTAGAGGAGAGTCGACTGACTGCTTCTCTACGTAAAAATTCGACCTTTGCCATCTCTGTGGCAACCCAACTGGGGATGTCGGGTATCGCGCAAACGATGACAAATCGTATGATCAACATAATGTGCTCGAGTGCAACAATAAGCAATATCGTTTGTGTTGCCGACATCTCCGGAAACATTCGTTGTACTTGCCCGCTAAGACCGATCAGCGCACAGTTCACCAATATTGCCACCAGTGCCATCGTTTCCATGGCGTTCTGTCAAATTAATTAACCAAATATATTTCTATACCAATTCTTTGGTTTGATCTTTAATGAAACTATCACAGGTTAAGCTATTGAAATTTACCTGCCAAGTTCCGATATTCGATACTCGTCTTCCGAAGGGCCGTTGAAGGACGAAGCATAGTTTGAAAGCATCACCCCGTAGCTCTAAGAGATTGCCTAACAATGCGGCAAGTGCCGCCAAGGGGAATGCGGACGAAAAGAGGCAGACGTAGCCAAGCTGAGACAGCATTTCCAGATGTTCCGAAAATGCTCCATCGTACTGCAAATTTGTGCGTTTCTTTCTCTAAAAGGCTGAATAATCTGTCCGTTCTGGATAGTTTTTGTCAATCGGAAATCTCGATTTTCAAATTAGCAAATTTCATCAGAATTAAACAAGTAACATCCGAAAAATTATCATCGAGATGTCCGATATTAATGTGTTGGAGTAGTACGTAAGGTATATTTGCAGATTTCGTGCGCATTAATTAAAAATGTTCTATGCACAAAGCAAATAACGTAAAGTATAAGTGCTAATATATATTGAATGAAAGAAAAAGAATTCATGATCTCTATATAGTTATGATGAATACTCATTGATATAATCGTCATGTGGGTAAACTTCAAAATATCATTAATTCACTTAATAAGTTAGTAATAAGTGAGAAAAAAATGTTAAAATTGGATGAAGGTGATATTACCTTTTTTGGTGGTACCTGTGCTTCGTCGATGGATTCGATGGAAAACGGAAAAAAACTACTTTAATCTGTAAAAATGATCGATCAAAACGCACAAGAGAACAATTATGACACGCGACAAATATCGGCAATAAAAATTTAAAAAAATCTTAAATCAAAGTGACATAAGCCGCAAGAAAGACGATTTTGCCGATCAGTTTGAACGTTGGTCACTATATCGAAAATGAAGAAAATGTGGAAGTAAAAAGAAACGAAAATGATTTAACATGTCATGCGAATAGAAAATGTTCATCTTACAGATTACCTTTGAATCGTGCTTGAGGCTAACGTACGACTATAAATGATAGTTGTAATGCTCGTTTCATGCAACATCCAGTGTATATATTATTTGTGTGAAAGAGTGTTGTGATGCTTGGTTAAGGAAGGTAAGCCATAAGATGATGAACATAAAGACATTGAGAAATAAATAGAGCGCAAGAGGAAAACAAAGAAAACTCAAAGGAAAGATCGGCTAAATCTAGATCAAACCTTGAAAGCAACGTCACTAAGTAGCGAATTAGTTGGATGCCCTACTCTATAGAGGGAGCTTTCCAGTTCTGCCTGGCTGACGTTCCTCGGCTGCTTGATCCTCGGCTCCTTGTCATCGTCATGCGATGGACTCGACGCGGCGCTCATCGTTTCGGATTCGTTGCTTGGCTCGCCCGGTGGCGATCGAGCCTCGCTTGGACTCAATGCGCCAAACATCTCAAAGCTCAGCCTTGCCAACCGCAATTGTTCGATCAGGTATGGTACCGCCGACTCTTTCAAATTGCCTATCACTTGTCTCGCTATCAGCAGGGCCGCCAATTGCTATTTTACATGTTCAAATGTTATATTTAACTCGATGCAATTCATTTACGAATAATCGAAAATAGTTGTTGTCATACCTCTTTAAGTCTTTCTTGATCTTGGATGTAAAACGCAATATAAAATAACGACAGGAAAGAGTTGACGAATTGGAACTGAAATAAAAAATTTAATGATTCCTTAAAAAAATCTCAATTGGATAGAATGAAACTGATCACTCTTCTAGATTTCTAATATGCAGCAACTATATTTAAATCGATCTAGATAGTACGTACAAACAATATAAGTAGTAATGTAGCGAGAGAATTTTGCTGTACATTTTTCAAACATTAAGAGCATTATAAATTATCAATTACAAATATTACAAATATACAATTTCAATTAAAAGATTATAGTACACACATGCTCTCAACTATAGACTTATATCTATGGCTATATTCCATGACTTTCTGTTACACACATTTTTATATCTAGTAAGTACTCTTTTTTGAAACGTTCAAATGATATATCTTAAACGTATTTCTTTGCTACTTTTAAAGTTCACTAATTATTGATTTATAAAAAGTGTACTCAAATATAAAAGTGCAGCAAAAACAACATATAGAATCATTACCAGCGCCACTTTGTAGATCAGATGGTTCTCGTACTCCGTGTCAAGGCGATAATTTTCTATATTCAACACATGGAAAAACATTGATTCTAAAGTCTACTTTTAGCCAAATGATTTATCTAAATCGATTTTGCACCAATCTATTCTGTTATAAACTATAGAAGTGTCATAGAATTTTTCGAGGTAACGCTTAAGTAGATTGCTTATGTTATTATTACATTGATTGCTGAAGGATATGAAATAACTATTGTATAAAAGTCGTTATTTTTTTGTGCAAATCGATTATCGAATACGTAATTTTAGATTATAGCGAAAATATATCGAAGTATGTTTTTAGATAAAGTAATTTCATAATACCGTAATATTACTTTAATAACCAAAAATTGTGTATGTTTTTAATGTAAATTACGTAATTTCTAGAGTATAAACTAATATAAATTTATTGATGCGAGTTAGCTGAAACAGTACAGAACCAAATCAAAACAACATACCCATGAATGCAGAATGAACGGATGGGTTGTGTGAGATACGAAATAAAATTTACATTAAAAAAATGACCAGCAATATATTATATGTATAGTAAAATAATGGAAAGGAATGATCAAAATTCATAAAGTAGGTAGATCTAAAAATATAGGACGACTATGTTCAAATTGCTGTAACTTAAAAAAAACCATCTATTAGGTATGATTCACTTTCATGCTTATAAAATCAGCTTAAATGATTCCATAGACAATAATTTTCATGATATTTTGCCTGAGATATCGCGCTTTAAAGTAATCTTTCTTTTTACTACATAACGTAAATATATACCCAACCTGAGCAGAAAAGGGATATCGCGTTTAGGGACATTTGAACCTGTGGAACTTTCATCACTCGATTGTACGAATAAAATGTCATAAGGTCATATCGTTATAGCGCACGTATACATGGAATCCGAACATAGTTCCGTATTTGATTCGTCTACCTTATGTATATACATATAATTTATGAAAAGAAATATGTAAATGCATTATTACAATTAGAACTAATAATTTAATTTAAAAAAAAGAATACTGTAATTTCTACAGCGTGGTGAATTTTATGCGAACTCTAAAATTGTTAAGAAAATAAAACATATTGCAATGATTATAAATAATGGCTCTGGTGATAAAATAAAAGTGTGAAAAATAAAATGTGGCTTCTTACCCATGTCGTTCAGCCAAACGGCAACTTTAAAGTAAGCTTCATCCATCAATGCAATCACAATAGCAAGAAGCACCTTCGGTACATAACTCAGACAAAATCCATGACCAGCAGCTTCAAGTTTCGCATCCCACCAGTCCTATAAAAGAAGTAGAGTTGGAAAATGTGATATTTAGTTTAGCGAGATACCGAAAATTCCAAGAGCAACTCACCTGAATTTGGAAGCTGACTATCATAACTATGAAAACGAAGAATAAACAAATGGCAACGATAGGCACGCTAACGAAGTAACGAAACATGTTTCTTTTCCACCTGGGATACGTTGGCTCGAGTCTCCCCGTGACTGGTGATACTTCAAGAGTTCCCTGCAACAGAGTTTAATATCGTAGAGAAAAACGAGGAAAAAGTTGACGGTGCAGAATTGCACGGAAAATAATAAATTTACCGTAAATAATGGTCTGGGCTCAACCAACAAGTCGTCTCTCTGGTCGAGAGTACCCCACCTGTAAGCGAGCTCGGCACCCCTGCGTTTCCACGTTTCCAGGTAAACGGTTGCCCATATCACATTGAAAATCGAGAACAGCACGTAGGCTACGTCCTCCACCGCCTGATTCCTACCGATGATGCCGACCTATCGATCACAAAGTCATTTTTCAACTCGTAGCGTAATTTTCGAGCCCGCCGACGCTCAAGCTGTGCAGCCACACGTGTATACCTATATTATACGCATATATAACCGTATGCTCATGGTTCTCGTATTGATTTTGTTGTTTCGGGCAGCAGATGTTGCCTGCCAACGATACTGATACATACACCTATACCACGCAGTCCTGCTTCGACATTAGCTCATTGTGCTTCACCGACCGAGTGATTTGCACTCGTGAAAAGCCGTTCGCATCAATTTCTTCAATGCCAATTGCCGAAAAGAGTTGCAGTAGTCGGAAGGATTGAAATAGAGAGACTGCGCAAGCCAGCGATTTAGCGAGCAGCCTGATAAATCAATGAAGTGTGAAGTAGCGGGATAACTTACCCAGTATATGACACCCACAGCAGCTGGAACAATGAGGGCGGTGGTATAGTGGCCCAGCCACGCGAAGTACATTGTGATCTTGACGCCGAAGTACCTGGCAATGTCGTCAAGGGGCTGCGGACTCAGAAACGCCCGAACCCACGTCCGCTGTAGCTTCTCCAATTCCGGTAATTCGTGCAACGGGAATACCTACATACAGCGCCATCGTGATTATACTTTTGATTACTTCGTGACATACTATAGTCTCATAATATATAGCCTTAATCTTCGCGAGAGCAGTTTGGCCAAATCTTGCCAAACGCATACGTGTACGCCACTAGAGCGCGAACCTAGAGTCCAGCTTGTCTACTGCTTCGGAAACTTTAAATGAAAATTTTAATTCCACGAATAGTACGAGCATAAGTTCAAAAGTGCCGCGTCAATTTGCACATGTACAAGCTGAACTTTGAGACAGTTTTCGAGCTTCTTTTTATTTCGCGAACTGTCATAAATCGATGTAGTAGAGTACGAATAAATGAACCTGTGAAATGACGCCCGCAGAAAGACATTTAGGAATGATCGCTTGGCCTTCGACGAGCTTGAGACCTGGCAAACTGTTGAGATCGTGCGGTCCTGCCCTGAGCGTGTGCATCAGATAAAGCATTAGCGATTGGCGTTCCTGGGTCGTAAAAAACAGCGTCTCGTCGTCGTTGCCCTCGAAGTACGTCGCTTCCGAGCCGACGAATTCTTTTAGTCCACCGCCGTACTCCGAGCGCAGTCGTTTCGGCAGGTGCACCTCTTCCGCGGCTTTCAGTAGCCTGTTGTCACAAGCGTAAGAATCGGTTTCGCTTGAGGAGAGCTCGACTCAAGGCGTTAAAGGCTAAGCAGGATTGCCACGCGGATATCGGGTGTGAAACTACACTTTGTTCCGCACGAGCGCAAACGTGGCGAGTGCGTTGGCTGTACTTACACAGGATACGGCGCTGTCAGATAGAATCCGTAACTATCTGACGAGGCGTGATGTCGCACGTGCACCACAAGTCCCGGAGTTCCAGCCCGCAGGCGTTGCAGAAGCCACATTAACGTGTCGTCGCTGCTTCCACTCGGAAACGCCATCACTACATCGCATTCCTGCGTCAGACACGATAACAATTTACACAATAACTCTTCGGTTGGGCGCAGCAACGCATAAACTACCTAGTTCTCCACTAAATTTCTCTTCTTTCTCGCTTATTTCTCCCGAGAACAGAATCGCGCCCGACTACACGCATAAAGTTCCCTCGGTAAACTCTGCCATCTTTGTCCTATTAATTTGCAAGTTTACACATTGCTCGACTGCCACATGATTCATGAGACTGATTTTCGAGCAAGCATTTAGAGAAACGCAACAATAGCAACTTAGAATAGATAAATATATCACACACGAGTTTTCTCGTGACAATTTTTATCGAACGCGCTGTTTGCTCATGTTTCACTTTTCCCGCAATCATATTTTACAAATCTTAGCGTATACTGATTCAACTGGAACTAAAATTTGTACATGAATGCCAACAAAGAAATGTTAAATCGCTCGTTTGTTTTATTAGCCGAGCGAGGATATTGTTCACTCTGTAAAGAAAATATACGCAACCAGTTATCTTCATTTTCTCTGGCTTACATTTGGAGCTTACAGTCGAGCTTTACGTCAGTTTACATTTATCTTTATCATACAAGAGGCTCATAATAAAAAAACATATTTCTCAACATTTCCATGAAATATGCAGTGCAAGTGAACGTTCCAGAATTCCAAGTTTTTCCTTTACCGAATTTTAAGAATTGTGTCTGACAAAGCCCGAGTTAGGTTTAAAGACTTTTTTCTATTCAATATATGAGCTTAATGGAGTAGAAGGCTGACAATAATGCCAGTTCCGAAGAAAAGAAGAAAAACGACGCGGGGGCGGTCACTGAACGTATTTCTTGAATATCCCTGGAGAAAATTAGAGATCAGAATACCCTCGAGGCTGCGTCACGGTGTAAAATTTACATATGGAGCTCAGCGCGACATTTTTCATTTTTCATCGAAGCAAAAAAATGTATTCGGTTATTTGAATCGTGGCAGTTACCAAGCTAGGTAGACGGGATCATCTGTTTCGGGAAATAAAAGAGCCTTTTTTCTCTCTCGATCCTCAGTTTCGCGCAATCCGAGATAAAGAAAGGGAGAAGGGTATTCAATAAGTTTGCATCGCGGTTCTGGCACGTGGACGGTAAGGCTGGCGTAATAGTGAGTGAGAAACGGAGAAAGAGGGGGCCAGGCAGGAGCGGCGAAAGAGATATAGAGCGCAAAGTACGGCGTATCCTGGCTAACGGCCAAATTGTGCGAGGGCTACAGGACAGTGCGCGTGCATAGCGATACGCGACACGTCTGACCTAGTCGGCGGCCTACACTACTGCAATATCGTAATCGTGCCACTCGAGTGGCTTGGGGATTAGGCGGCTCGGCTTAAATAAACATTGCTTGTGTACTGCGATTTTCGATAGATAAAAAGTTGGCTTCCTTTCGCCTAGAACGCTCCCCCCCCCTCCCTTTTTCAAGTGCACTCTCAAGCCAACCCTGACGTCAATGCCTACTACTGCTTTGTTCTGCTAGCCTATCTCTTGCTGCTTCATCTTGCATTATACTTTTTTCTCTTAAATATCCTCATTACCAACTACTTTTTTTCTTATCTTTTAAAAACGCAAAGTTACGAGCATGAATAAGAATTCTACACAACGACCTGCTTATACTTTCCTATCCTTTATTTATAAAACATATGTAAATAAAATTAATTTTTTGAGATTCTGTAAGTTTATCCGCTATTAAATATTTCTACTTTGCAAAAAGTTTTTAAAAGTATGCAATCCTTTCTTCATTGCCACGCTCAGCGCTACATATCGAAGGATACGAGCACCAATCGAAATGAAGGCTTAAGAAGTCTATAAATAGAACACAGTGCGGTACCGCCAAACTCACCAATACATAATTCGTAAAAATATCAATGCATGTATTAACAAAACGTCATCAGATTTACTCGCTTGACACGATTTCCTGAAAATCGTGCTTCGTAGTCGGGTTTATATAGGCATACGTACGGGTATATCTAAATAAACGTGTGTATGTCGCAATAGTTGCGGGCTTCCATTCGCGCGCGGCAGCGCCGACTGTGTGCTTTTGGAGTTCTTGCAAACGACTTGCTCGCCCGGGGAACATTGCGCGATTTGTCACCCTAGTTCAAAGCTTGTTTTACTTCTCATCGATCACTATTTTATCATTTCCTTCTTTTCCTTTGTGGATCCAAATACGTATTCTTTACCTGTTTTGACGTTCCACACGCGAATTCCGCCACTGTATTCATTGGTTTTGAATCATTGATTTCAAACCACGCTAAGCTTGTTATTTATTACAGTTTTTTTTAATTTTGTTCCGCTTCTTATGGCCATTTATTTCAAAAACTCATTTGTTTCGGAAAAGCTTTGTAAACTGCTGTTGGTCGCTGTTATATATAAAATGTTATGAGTCTGAGCTTGCAATCGTTGTATGTAAGAAATTCTGTCAAGAATCAAATAACAGCACATTGTTAAGATAAAGCAATTGCACCGCGGTATATACGACGGTTATGCATGCTGGCTGTATTCATACTCAAGTATTCCATCTGCGTGTCGGCGGATCAATCACGGAATATCGTTTAATGACGGAATGAACTAAAAGATTGTTGCTAGGTTCTTCAAGAAATATGCATTCGCCAAGCTCATCTATATGCACATACATAAATATTTATCGCAACTTTTGAGATTCGATACTTAATCAAAAGAACCAATATTGTTTCGAGGCCATGAGAAAAGTTCGCTTGGCTTATTTATACGCGGTTGAACTTTTACCTTTTAATCTCAATGAATATAGAAATAATAATTAAAATAGACTCGCGCAAACGATAAGAAAAGAAAAGCTATAGATCTCATTGTCTAAAAGCTCCGTTTTAGTTACGAATAAAGCACGAAGCTGAAAATCGATTTTCGACGCCTTGTTCCTCGTGGCCCAGACGTAGAAGGAATAGCGCATTAGGAGTCAGTACTGCTCATTGTGCGCTAACAAAGCAAACAACTCATCAGACTAAAGTAAACATATTAACCGTTAGAATGAGCGAGCTAGGCGGAGTGCTAATCAAGGGCCGAATTCACGATCGCGTACACGCGCATTCACTGTACAGGGGCGGCTTGAACAGCCGAGCAGCGCGAGAGATATGCGCGCACGTGCAGGCGAATCGATGCACTTGCACAAGCGATAATGACGAGAGCTGGCGCCTATAGTTTCGCACGCGACCGCCTGCCGCAATAGGCTCTTGATGCGCTTAGATAGAGGCGCCGACGTCGAAGCTGGAAATTGACGATAAACTACTTATCGAAGTCGCTGCAAGAGAGCTTGACTATACGTTTACGTGTATGTATGTGCAGGCGTTTTACGCCTATGACCAAGAACACTCAACAAGTGCTCTCACTCTTCCAAACAAAGGAATACCCCTAGAAGCTACCATTTACTCAAGTTTTCTAAGAATTTCGAAAAAATCTCGTGAAAACTATCGACTAAAATGCCAATCAAGACCAACCAAAGTCATCGCCATATCAAAGATATTTTGAAAAATAGAATACAATTTCAGACTTTCAACAAATTTTTTACCAATAAAATTACTTGATAATAAACTAACCGAACCGTACTTTTCAAACTGCACCATACATTATGAAATGCTTCTCAAACCACTGAACTGTACTCCAACGAATCAAATAACAGCAGTAATTGGACTTTATACGAACTATTTTTCAAGTTGTTCGATTCAATAGATTGTCAACTTGAGTTATTTAAACATGACGAATGCGTGCCTTGGTCCGGTAGTTATTATATTATTATAAAAAGTTATTATATATATTATAAGATACATAATTTGCTCGCATGAAATTTGTTCGTTTTACGCGTATATTAAAGTTATTGCTGTTTAACTCTATTTTGTTTGTTATATCTATTAAAATATTAATCAGTTATAACTGCACTATTTTATTTAAAAAGACATATAACAGAAAGCTTTTCAATTTTTACATTAACATTTTTTCACAAATAATATATTATTTTTATCTTTGGGTGAAAGCTTATAAAGAAATCTAAATAAATAAATAAATAATTATGAAATAGAAATTGTCAACTTACTTGTGTGGGAACTTTTTGAATCCATAGGCGGCGGGGGGTCATTAAGTGGCCAGTACATGGTATTTTTCGCCTGAGGAGGCGAGACGCTAAAAAAAGAACAATTTTTATTTGCCGTTGCTTATGATTATACAAACGAAGTCATAAATGGAAAAATAAGTTTCTAAATCCCCAAAGCTCCTACGTAATAAGTTGACAAAAGAAGAATCAGTGGCAATTTTACTTTCGTAGTTGATCTTATAAAATTAGAAGAGCAGCAATACAAGTAACTTATTTTGCTCGATAAAATCAAGTTGTCACACAACAAGCGACTTTTCTTTAAGCAAAACACGCAAGGTTGCATAGGTTTCGATTATTTCAAGAGACGGAAGTCGTGCCATAATGAAATTAGGGCCGTATGAAGATATCGCGATGGTTGCACTAATCGCATTTATTTACAGATAGTTCGCGTGCATTAAAAACTCTAATGTCTACGAACAATGAATAAGCTCCATCCGCTTATTACACTTTTCACTGTTACTTTGAGATTTTGTAGTTTAATGCTTCTAATTATAAGATTTAGTTAACTTAACATAAGTATCTCGAGAGCAATCAATTTAGTTCATAATCTGAAATTCTGCATAATTCCTGGAATTTTACTTAAGAGTAAGATATTGTTTTACAATAAGCCCACGGCTAAAATTTGAAAACCATATTCAAAGTATAATCGCACAAATGGCGTATTTATTGTGGGAGATGGGCGATACAATAAAAAGTATATTACTTCGAGGCTGAAAATAGCAGACTGAAAATACATCGTGCGCCGAAGTGACAAAAGAGGGAGTTGAGCCATCAATGTCTCCGATGGCTGCTCGCTTTATAAAGATCAGACAGTCGTATAGCGCCATTCTGCAGAACACAGCGAGGCGCGATGAGAGGGCAGCTTTAGCAGTACGCCGCGCGTTCTTCGACCCCATTTTTATCGAACGACCTCGATCGTCTCTCTCTCTCTCTCGCTCTCTCTTGTTTAAGCGCTGCGAGTATCCGTGGAATATTTTTGTCACTCGCCGTGTGGAAAAGCTCATTCCATTGCGTCAAAAAGTTAGGAAAATCACGTTAATCCCAGGATCCTGAATCTATTTCTCAAAGGTGGCTGCCATTTTTCTTTCTCTGGATTCAAGAGAGAAAGAATGACTCTCCTTCTCCGAGATGTGCGCGCGCTTTCCTCGCGTCCTACAAGCATCGTCAATTTTGGAGACCAGCCGGTAATTGGGTTAGGGACTGCGCAAGTTCAGCAAGAGTGGATTGTTCGAAATTACTGAAATATGCCTGCACTCTCTGATAAGGCCGTGAATATTGCCGCGCGCTGACTAAAACATTGACAGTACGAATACTTATCGCGAAACTTTGCCGATACTCCGATAATGTAAAAATGAATAGCCAGCAAGTTACGTGCATATCAAATTAATACTAAATTTATTATTTAAAAACCTTTCACTTGTTTATTAGTTTAATTTAACCTCTTTCGAGCCGCATTTTCCTTGTATAAGCAACATTCTCTAGATAATAAAATCGTGGAATTTGGGCAATCCTAATTTACAGTAGATACAATTACGGTAAATGAAATAGTTTATTCAATTCGGTAATCGCAGTTATTCTGAATTTACTAATTATCTTCTACAATAATCTTGTAGTGAATGTTCCTTCCGAGGGACATCAAGTAGGAAAGAGTTAGGTTACTTTGAAATTTATATTCTATTTTTCTGAATGTTATGCGAGAAATTAAAGTCTTTGTATCAATTCAGCATTTCTTATATTTTTAATTCCAACACATAGAACTCTAAATAATGCAAGCAGAGTGTCGAAAGAATGCTCACAGATGAATCGCGTTGATATGCGTGTAATAACTTCATTGTGTGTGTAGGAAGGACAAATCGATCGTACAAAAGCAGCGTGCAACACATGCATCATTTCCGCGTTGCAGTTCCAAATTGAAATTTAGCAAGTTCTCTGCAAATTACAAGAGATCTGCCAATAAACATTACAAGCCTATAAAATAGTCTGACGTAGGTAAAAAAGTTCCGCTGTGAAAACAAGGGAAAATAAAGGCGAGGAGTAAGAAAAGCATGAGCTTCGGAGAAATAGGTGTAGGCAACAGCTGCTTCCGCGGGTATAGAGTCGACTGAGAAAAATATTGCACGTAAAACGAATAGAAGAGAAATGATATGCATAGAGTGTATATAGTGCAGGCTGATGTTCGTGTAAACGCGATCTTTGACACGAGGAGCTGGGGTTCGCGTGCAGGCAAGCGGCAGCGGCGAGCATTGGCCTGAAAAGCTCGAATCCCGTGAGCGCCGTGCTCGTTCGCTGCGCATTTAGAAATGGATTTTTTTTTGTATTTATTGAGGGCCACCGCGTACGCGCGGCGCAATGCTCCACGGCAACGGTGACAGCTACACGCGCGTGCCCTCGCGGATGCTTTTGTCTCGATTCCACGCGGTCTACCGACGCTTTAAACTTCTCTTTCGAAATTCAAGAGCAGTCAACGGAATTTTCTTTTCGATACTCCGTGCGCAAAGTGCGTCTTTCCCGCACACTCGATAGAAAAAGTGCGTTGAAAATCACACTTTCCATACGTCGTATCAAAAAATACGGTACGGCACATGTTCGGGAAAGAGTTTCTCGTCTCGTGTACCTTTCCACCCTCGCCTCGCTCGGGTGTAAACGCCACACGAGACAAGAATCTACTTTCCCGCACTTGTATCGTAATGTACTATTTTCTCGTGCGAAAGCGTTCACTTCTTCTCGTTATTTATCCTGCGTATGTTTTCCTTAGCACCTCATGCAGTATGCGGTAACTAGAGCCGCTAATGTTATCGCTGCGATCGATAGCCGCCTTGGCTCAAACCGTACGAAGCGCTCACTCGCCCTCTCGTTATTACAGTGACCTGAACGGATTAGCACGGCTGGCATGTTGTTAACGCAATTTTTTCACACGTTGATTACGTCAAAATTTTGTACAGCCACTTGAGGCTTTACTTTATCCCACGTCCACATCAAAATCTATACGTCTGCAATCCAATAATTTTATTATTTCATATGATATCGTCCCTTTCATCGTACTTATACATGAATAGCTTTGAAGCTCATTATGTTGGAGAATGGTTACTATGGGCTATGAATTGTTTTTCAACTTTTTATAGTCATCCGATCAATCCAATAACTCGTTGTAAATTGTTGGATGTTCCAATTTAATCTTTAATCATCCCACGTTTTACACCTATGAGTTTACTGTTTTATCGTTTAAATTATCTTTTATATAGTCTTCAATAATTGTGCGCCTTCTATAAAAATGCCTGCTGTAGATATATTGGATTTTGTCATTATCACAAGCAATGTCAATGTTATTCGCTATCGAAATATACTTGACTGTCATTCTTTTATTTAAAGTGATCAAATATTTTAAAAACTGCTAAGGGATTTCATTTTCCAGAATGCGCCAAATAAAAGATAGATTTTTATGCCACGTCGTCTTTACAATTCCATAGAATTGATTGGCAATTACATTTAAATGTGCAAGAACTTTGGTTTAATCAGAAAAGTTTTTCATTTTAGCTTTCCTTTTACAGTTTGCAAGCTCACACTATTACTTACAAGTGTAATTTTAAGAGAAAAAAAATGATCCGATAAATATTTTTTTTGTAACAAATTGCTTTTCGAAATTTAAGTTTAAAAATGAGATATTTTAAAAATTAATTATAACTAGGTTACTGATTTATTGACTTATTATTGCTATTATTATTGTATTTAAAAACCATAAAATTCTAACTTTTTATTGCTTTGGCAGAAGATATATCATAAATTCTATTTAGTGCAACTTTATTAAAAAATCTATAACTTTAATATTTATATAACGTGTCATTTTAAATACATTCTTTTAACTTTTTTATTTTTCATGAAATATTTTTGGCATCGCCTTTATGCGTATTCAATAATGTTAAATTAACGACTTACGGAGAATTAGGTAATTAACAAAGGATTATATGATTCCATTTTACGTAATTTTTGAAAGTAATATTAAATAATTTTCTACAATTTTTTCTAAATGAAAAGTTTTATAGAGTTTACTTCTCACACTTATTATTAACAACATATATGGTTGAATGAAATCCGCGAAAAATAGTAATTATATTTCCCTTCTATACTTAGTTTTGATTATGAATGGAGAATCAGCTATTATTCAGAATAATCTTACATACTTTTTTACTCATATCTTTAATCAATTCAACAGGGGTATAATCAAGTATCATTTCAATTAGTGTAGTATTGTGACATATTTCTATAAAGCACTGTTTTATAAGTCTGCATATAGACATTGAAGAAAGCTCAGCAATGGCGGTCGTCCAGAATAAACTTCCTTGCGAAATATTTGATGCAAATCGATTTCCATAAAAAAAGATGGAACGATAACTATTTAAGCAAATTTACGGTGTCATATGATACCATTCGAAATTGCATAACATGCCGATTATGGAGTAGATTAATGATTTTGGGTAAGTCTCATTTATTGATTACGAATTGGTTGAGGTATGAAGATCCGTTATCACTAATTATAACGTAAGATTGTTAATGAGTTGGAAAGCCCGTGGATTATGTAAGTTAGCTTTGAGCAAAGTAGAAACAGATCAAAGTTGAATATTATTGATTTGAAAGACGGTCTACTGGTGCAGGTAGCGTGCTTGAAACAAAGAAAAGAAAACCGCACCAAGAAAAATTGCTAAACAATCGTCGAACTGATGCACTAGAAGATAATAAGTAGCTTGTACGGAGGCCAAATCTTGTTACGGCAGGCAATTCACTGATTGCATTCACAAAAATACGATGATTATACAGCGGCAGTAGCAATAGCAGCAGCACGCACACGCGAACTTTGGAAAGCAGCAGCGAGCTTGACACGACAGTGAGGGGAGAGCAGCAGCAGTGGCAGCTTATCCGGTTCATCGACGCGAGGACTCACCCTTGTCGAGGGTCTCTTTGGCGGCGTGTATGACCTTTCTCCTCCTGAGGCCATCGCCGGCGAGTGTGAGAGGCGGTCCGTCGGAGGCCGCGAGGCCGTGGCTCGTGCTCGCGGCCTGGGCCGCTGCCTCCGCGGGGTCGTACTCCTCGGCAGCGAATTTGCGCTCCGCGGCGGCGGCCGACCCCTCGCCGCCCGACATTTTTTGCTGAGCTGAGCACTCGGCCGCTCCCTCTGAGTCCGTGGCTTCTACTGCCGTCGGGCCAGCAGCTCTTTCTCGCTAGACACGTAAGCGCACCCCCTCGAGCGCCCGGGCGCATGCGCGCGCCTCCCCGATCATCCCTCCTCCGTCAGCTTGCACCCTAGTAGCCGTCGAGGCTCTACTACGGATTCTTTTCATCCTACTGCTATCCCGCTTCCACACGCGTATCGTCTTTCATCCTATATTCACTTATGGCTTTTTTTCTTTTCTTTACGACTTTTCTTTGTCGCCTACACATAACACAGCTCGCCCCCTCTGCAGCTATTTTTCAATGTTTATCCCACACACACACAGACACGCGCGAACGCGCACACACCGTACTCGTTATCCAATTTGCCCTTTTCTATTTTCCATCAGGTAACCAACGTCCACATATGCGCTTCAATTAAATATTGGTTTACCAACGGGCTTTGTTCAGTCATTATTTACTTTCCCCTTCTACCATTCTTTATCGCTTTCTTTGATGATTATCTTTTTATTCTCACTAACTTTTCTTCGCGCTACTGCCCAGCAGTATTTGTATACGAAACGTTGTAATCGCGACTCGATTGAATTTCAATCTAGTCGTCTTAACACTTTGTTCACATCGTGATTGAACAAAAGAGATGTCATTTTGCGATCTAATCTAAACTGTGTCGTAACTCATTTATATTTAATTGCATTAAAACTTTTTGTATAAATTTAGATAAAACTATATCGAAAAAATACAGTATTTATTTATTATTGCACTTGAATATTACAGTGAATTATTTATCTTAGAATTGGAGATAAATCACAAAGTATTTCATCCAAAAATGCGATGCTTGGTGAGTCACCACAATTTGAACTAGTTTAAAATTCAAATTGTGTATAACTCGACTCAACTTTATCCTCGTGGTATTACATCTAGCTGTATTGACACTCATAACCAACGTATACTACTCCGAAATACCGCAGCGGAAATTGACTGATTTAGTTAATCGGCATTCAATCGGATTCATATATCGATAAACAGTTTCGCTTGTAAATTCTCGTTTACAAATAATTATCACAGGCTTATCTTATAAGATAGACATATTATTATGTTTGATTTCGAATGAAGATCAAAATGGTTAACAATACTATGTGATAGGACTTTTTTTATTTAACTGGAATAATCGGTTTTTAGTTAAATTTTAGTAAAAAAAATTGAAACTATGAAACAATTAGGCTATGCTATTGACAAATGCTAAGAGCTGATCGTTTTCGTGGTCTAACCAATATTGCATCTTGCTATTTAGAAGTCTGATAAAACACCCATTATGGTAAAAACTCGCAACTTGCACGAGATATCAAATTGAGATTTTGCTTCAAGCCGATTGATCAGAGTGCGAAACTCAGAACCTTTATAATACGTGTCTATCCTGCTCCTCTTTGGGTACAAAAAACTCGCAATCGTATAAATTGTCATGGCCTCTCTCTCTCTCTCTCTCTCTCTCTCTCTCTCTCTCTCTCTCTCTCTCTCTCTCTCTCTCTCTCTCTCTCTCTCTCTCTCTCTCTCTCTCTTTCTCTCTCTCTTTCTCTCTCTCTTTCTCTCTCTCTTTCTCTCTCTCTTTCTCTCTCTCTCTTTCTCCGGCTTTCTTAGGCCGCTCTTCTGTGGCTCTTTGCTCGCTAATGACGGATCAAGAGCTGGAAGGAGCTGACGAGCTATAAAAGAGTCTGCTAATTACTCTACTAAAGCCTGAGAGATAAGTAGGCCGATGATACTGGCAAAAAGTTAAGAAAGAAAAGGATAAAATGAAATCAAAAGATGGAAAAATTGTTTGAACGAACTGAACCTTTTTCAAAGAAAAGTTAAAAACAAATTATTATTACAAGTAGTCAAGCGACTCTATTAGAATTATATTTTGATATGTTGACAAAGCAAAGACTGGAAAAATCAAGTTATTCGCTATTATGTAACGAATTTGGCATAAATCACTTTTTTTTAATCAAAAGTTTTTCATAGTGAAGTTGCAAGCATCAGTTTCAATACCACTCGGTCGAGGAAAGATAAAAAAGTTCAATACTTTTACATTCATATATTAAAATAATTGTCGCTCACCTTTATTATCACGCTTAATATAACTTAAAATACATCATATAACTTAAAAATGAGCGAAGAGTAATTATAATAATAATTAAATACACTTAACATCTAGAACCTTAAAAAATAAATGTTCTCGGTAAGTATATACTTACAGATTGCTCGTGTGAGCATGCGTTTATTAAATACAAAAACTCGTATGACCATATTTTTATTTTGGAAACAGAAGCTTACTGAGCTTTCGCTTCGTACAATGAAAGACAGATCTTCTACGTCTGGATGTCTATGAAGCTCCTTTTAAAGAAAATGCATTCAACACCGTTGGCTTACAAGCTATTATACAAAATTCCACTAAGATAGCAGTAAATGGAGTAAAATGGAAAAAATTAAAGAATTAGTAAGAAAAACCTCGAGAGTAAAAAGATAAAGTTACGAATTACATAAGTAATGAATAAAATAATACGCTTAATAATTAATCAGTAGAAAGTATCTTAGACTTTAATAAGGACTATACAAGTATAATTGAAGGAGACTAAAATTGCGTTAATTCCTCAGTAATAGCTTTTCCCAATCCATTTCAATCGCAACGGAGACAGTTGATGCCCTTTAAAGCTCTACTAGGGGTCCTGTGGCGTACGGTATTTTCACTGAGAGACATGTACTTTCTCTCTAGGCGATCTATTACCGTGGGTCGGAGGACCAACGTTTTGTCGAGCGGAATAAATAACGATTGAACATAGGCGTACTCAAACGAGAAGTACGCAACTCATGTAGGTACTATCCGTATCCTACTCATACTGCACTTCTTTCTCTTGCTTGCCTTTGTGTATTTCCAATGAATGCTTTTTTTGGCACACTCGGCTGCCACAAATTAGGTCGTAGCTTATACAACGTAGTTTCGATTTCCATGTAATGATCGTTGTGGACATGCGCGTACGATAAATTGATCGAATTTCAAATTAAATAAATAGTAACAGTGCTCATGTGGGCGTGTGAAATGCGAATTCGTTCGATATCTGCTAAAAAAGCAGAGTTTGAGCGTGACATTAATCCTCAAATAATTCATTCGTTACGTAAGTGACTGGCAGCTGTACTTTTACTTCGGCAAAAATCTCGGAGGCTCATCTCGAGACTCCGTCCTTTTTGGGCTTAGACATAACGCAACGACCGCGGTAACAGATCTCGGTCATATGGGAAACTTTGGTCGTCGTGGACGTCCTGAGAATCTTGCCAAGATTCGTCTCGAAAGAGCTCTTCTTCACAGGGCCAATCTGCTTATCGGACATCATGGACGGCACGAACGGTCCGAAGGTAGCAGACTCAGTCGTGCTTGTAGTCAGGTTATCATTACTGGCGAGCGGTTGGAAGACTACTCTGCTAGACGACGACACGGAAGTTTTTACTTCGGTGGGAATGAAAGAGGTGCTTTCGGCTTTGAAAAGTTCTTTGTCCTGCCTGCTATTAGTGGTACTAGGACTATGTTGCTCGGTGAGTTTGGCTTTCTGGTGATGTTCTTCGTCGGCACTCTTGATGCTTTCAAAGATAGCCTTCACGTAATCGGTTACACTGGAATCGTTTTCTTCAGTCTGCTGCTGCTGTTGTTGCTGTTGTTGTTTCTCTTCAGTTTGGTTCTTGGGAACCCATTTACCGAAAAGAGACTTGTCACTAGGATAGCGTACCTCGCTCCACTTGCTTCTGTGATTCTTTGGATATTCGGCGTTGCCTTCGACGGCTTTTGCCTGTTCTTGGCTGCGCAAATACTCGTTGAATGCTGGACTCTTTGTCACGAAATACCTCAGCGAGTTTTCTTGGTTCAGCGACTGGATAACGTTCTCGCCACTATTGCTTTTGATCTCTTCGAATTTCGGCGTAGTTGTCATTGTCGCCATCATCGTGTTGCCGCTCGTCGACTTCTGGGCTTCTATCGTGGTTGTCCATGAAGGTGTGGTCGGAACTTCGGTATTATCCTCTTCCGTCTGTCTTACAGTCGTTGTTGACTCTTCGCGAATTTCCTTTATAATCGGCGTTTCGTCGTGAATCACGTCAGATGGAGTAATAGTTGGCATAATCATCCATGAGTCATCGGGATCAATAGTAGTGGTGATGACTTCGGGTTCAGAGGTGGTTAACCTGTCCTTGTTGTCACCGAGCATTTTGTCAAGGAAAGCCTCGAAAGCGGATTTTTCTGTCTGCGGCGTTTCCATAGTCGTAGTCGTGGTTGCGGTGGTGGCCGATGCACTTGTTGTCGGTACCGTGGTCAAGTAAAAGTTACGGAATTTGGGTGGCTCTCGTGGTAGATTGTTCAATGATGAGTCGTAACTTTGAGACTCGGCAGTGACAAAATCTTCTGAACTGGTACCAGCTGGCCTTACGCGTACTCTCACTCGCCTTCTTCTCAACCCAGCCTGAAAAAAAAATGAATAATCATTATCGCTTTACTCATATACGAAAGTTTACTGAATAAATTTCATTTCGTCCGAAAGAGAAATCCATTGCTCGCGTACAATTTGAGTAAATTCGATAGTAAAAAGTTTTTAAGTTAACAGGATGATGTTTATTTTATGTATTAACGACCTACTTTTGCAGAAGTACTTCTATCATCACGAAAACAAACTCTTGCAAAAATTATTTTTAGAAAGCATAACTTTCTGAAATTAAATTGATGTGTAAGTTAGCTAATTAATAGAAAAAACATCGAAAAAAAGTACAAGTATGTATGCATGTACGTGTGTATATGTGTGTGTATACCTTCTTAAAAGTAGCGCTACTAGGTTTATTAAACTCCTGAGTGGGTAAATTCTCAGTCGAACTATGAGTAGGTGCGGCAGGTGTGGTTGTCACATTATCTGCCTCCTCGTCGGCGTTCATTTTCTTGCCAAAGTCAATCATCGTTTGCATCATTTTGCCAGCGGACTCCTCGCTGGAGCTGGGTTGCTGTTGCTCGGTACTGGTGTCCTCGTTATTATCACTGTCGGAACTGACGAGGACAGTAATGGAAGGTACATCGGGTCCTGCGGTGATGATTTCCGGCAAATCACCGGCCTTGTCACCAGCCTCGGCCTCCACAGACTTGTCTGAATTGTCGTTTGCTTGGTTTGGCGTGTAGCTGCTCGGCTGGAAAGAATTGCCTGACAGCTTGGTAGACCATTGACTTTCGGCGCCATAAATGTCGCCGGAAGGTCGGCGCGATGACGAATGCTGCTGGCGTCGTGGCGCATCGTTAGCTACTTGGGATGGCTCGTATTCATCTCGATGGTAAGACTGTGATGCTCCATAGTTCAGCACAAATTCTTGTGGATACTGCAACGATTTTCGTAAAATGTCGTATTTATTATTACAATATCGTCTGAGGGATTTATACAGCATAGTTATTCGAGTTTTATTTGAACTGTCGGTAATACTTTGAGCTGGGAAAAAGCAAATTGTGAATTTATTGAAGCGTGTTACATAAAAAAATTATAACATCAGGTTTAGATTTAAATTATTTTAAGTATGCATTTTTATTGACTGCTTTTCAACTTTCAAAACGCATCAACGAAAATCACTCATTTCAAATATTTTCACAACAAGGACAGGTTGCGAAACGAAGCAAAACAAAAATCTTTAACATGTTTTAAATTTTAAATCAATTCTATCGATGTTACTAAAGTGATAGTTCAAGATAACCGTGTCAACGTCTAATTGGTATCAACGCAAACTGGAACAGAGGAGAACCAAATAGCAAAGCCAGTGTTACGAAGAAGGAAATCGAAAATAGAAAGGCCGGGGATAGAGGAAAAGGAAAGGAAATAAGATAGGAAAAGGGCGGCAATAGGGAGCGTGTACATATATAGCAAGTCCGAGAGAGCAAGCACGCATCAACCGCAGTGGAAAAAATGCAGGACAATCGATTCTCAACGAAGTATGTTAACGTAATGCGCGCGTGATCAGAATATATTACGTTAATTTTTTACATTGTTATGAATTACGTCATGCATGAATTTTCAAACACGAATTGTTTAGTGCATTTCAATTTCATTCAAACTCCATTAATTAACCACAACTTTTCCGCAGTGTATAATAAATGCAAGTAGCCTATATAAATATATAACTCTAACAAGTAAGTTCAACAAGTTCTTTTGAAAATATTCTACTTTAATTTAATTTTAATTTTTTTTAATGCAGTTTTAACTAAAATTCACGTTACTTTCGTAATTATGCAAACCAACCTAATATTATTATTCGACTTGAACTTTTGTGTATAGTTTTAAGTCATGTAAAAATTTGTTAAAATATGTGTACAGTTCCGGATATGCTAAACGATAATAATTATAAACTACTCACGTTCTCGTCCATAATGTCCGGTCGTCCGCCTCTGGCATTTTCTTGTCTTGGATAATTTTCATCAATGGGAAGCTCATTATTGGCATCGACTGAACTCTCAGTAGTAGTGGTGGTGCGTCTTCTAGAGCCAGGACGACGTGATCTGGTACGTGCTTTGATTGGCTTGGCCTCGTCGGACTGACTACCACGAACTCTTGAGCGAACGGTATATACGTCGTCGCTATGTGGTGTCGTCGTTATACGAGAACTTGATGGACGTCGAGTTGCAGAATACAACTTTTGACGGCTTTTCAAAAGTTGAGCTTGCGACTGACTGGTTTCGGTTGTCGATGGTGGTTCGATTGTCTCGACGTTCTGAAATAATTTTTTCGCTGTTTTTAAAACTGACTTCGATATTAAAAAGCTTCTAAAGACATTATTAGAAAGTTCTAATTACTGACAAAAACTTTTGTTACATTTTTTTTATAAAAATTTTCTGCACAATGCAGCACAACAGTGTTAAGCTCATTAGCATGTCCGAGTATAATTACAGAAAAAACCTACTTGATAGTGCGTCGTTTCAGTCTGCTGTACAACATTGTAATTAGGCGTCCTAATGAAACCATAGCTGTCCTCCTCGTCGGCACTGGGTCGTTCTTCGGTTGGCTTTGTGGTCGGTGGCGATGCAGTGGTGGTAGTTGGTCGACGTGCCGCTGCTTGGAACCTCACGTACTCACCTCCGTTAGTCTGTATCGGAGAATTCTGCTGATGTTGCGTGCGCGTCCTTTGCCTCGATCGTGGTCTTGACGTTGTTGGCTTGTTACTTGCATCCTGATTCACCGCACTAAATCGCACATATTCGTCGTGTGAGCCACGTGGTCGTGTCTGGATGGCCGAGTCGGCCTGTTGACTCGGTCGACCACTAAGACGTCCGCGCACTCGTTGACGGATTATCACTGGAGCTTCTGTCGTTGTTGTTGTACTTGTTGTTGTTGGTATTGTTGTCGTTGTGGGTACCTATAGATTTGATATTGTAGTTAATAAACTATAGAATGAAAAGGTGTAGTAAAAAAATTAATAGTCGTTGCCGTGGAGATGTTTGAAATAGGATCAGGTCGATATATGAAAGATATTTAACGAACTACTAGAAACTTCAAGGAAACTTCAATTTCTAAGTTTCATAAAGATAGATGATCCCAAAATAGTGCCTTGACATTCTCTGTTGGTTTTAACACGCGATAGTTGCAAGTTTCTTAGAAATGTTTTGCCCCTAGAAGAAATGATTCCATCAATATTTAGCTCATATGCCTATGCAAATTCATTAAGATCTATTTGATTAAACTGGAAAACTTTCCAACTGCACGTAGTTTATATTCATTCATTCATTGATGAGTTCTGATTTAATTTGCTAATTTCAATACCCTCTTCGATATATCCTTTACGTTGACTGGTTATAAAATTAACTAATATCGAATTCTAGCAAAAATATAATTAAGAAAAGTAATTGATGCACTGCTATGTACTGATTTGATCAAGGAAATGAGGCTTTATTTTGCCTGATTTTCTCATTGCTATACGTACACATTCAAACATATTTACGCTTTCAAGGCTATAGTAAATATCGAACTACACACGGTTCGTGACAAGTTATTCTTACGCACTTATAATAATGTATTCAAGTGCGATGAAATCAGTAAAATTTAATTGAGCTTATTATGGAATAGAAAGAAAGCTAATCTTATTCACTTTACCTCAGAAAACAAATTAGCGACGGTAACGTAGGCGTAATCGTCCGGCTTATCTTGAGGTATCGGCAAGAAAACCGGTTGCTCCTCGTCGTTATTATATACAGGCCTGGGAGTGTCGGCTTTGCCAAAGTTGCCTTGGATTGGCACTGGATGATAGACGGGTGAGAAATCTTGCAAATGAGATCTCTGCACATTGGGGCCGTCGGTGCCAGCGATAGGCTGGAAGACTACACTCTCGGTTTTACCGGGTCTGTGATATCCGCCGAAGTCTTTGTTGTGCAATGGCGAGGGTGAGATCTCGTGTGTTCTATAGTCGAATCCATTAATGGGTGCTTCATCGCTGGAGGCGAGGTTGGTTTTGCGCGAGTACTCGAGTCCGGCAAGTGGCAGTAAGGAGTCGGAGATGCGCTGGTTATTGAGGGGCGCCGCTGCGGCGGCCGCGGAAGCAGTAGAACTGGCCGCATCGATTTGTGATACGTTCTCATAGGCCGTACTATGCTCTTGCTGACCTTGCTCGCTCGGCTCGTTTGAATCGACAACCTGCAAAAGTACGTGAGCACACCACCCCCAACCGGCAGCGCCCGCTTTCTCTTAGTATGTAAGATGCCTTATGAGGATAAACTATTTCGGCTAAATAACTGTCGCTTTCCTCCTAACCGAATTGCCTTTTAAGCTAATGCAAACTCTCCTCTCGGTTCCCTGACATCTCTTTACATTTTAAAGTGCATTTTCTAGTCAAAACGCAAATGATCCAGTGAGGAAAGCTCATTGACTTTAGAGTTACGAATTTTCATTTAAATAGACATACCTGACTTTGGATAGACTCTTTGGTTTCTTCCTCTCTGGGCTTGTAGTTGTGATTACGAACTGTGGGTCTTCTTAACGAGCGCATATCATTGTCGTCGTATCTCGAACTGGTCACAGGAGTTCTCTTCGTAGGATCGTACGATGAATCATGGTAATCCTCGGTTGTCGTCGTATACTTCGATCTGGATCTATTGATTGGTCGCCTAGTTCTATCGGCAGTTGTTCTAGTCGGTGGCGACAGCGTCGTTGCTCGACTCGAAGTCACTCTACCCCTATAATTTTCATCGATTACAAAATTTAAATTTTCATAGTTGATTTGTTTTTAGCTCACATAAAATTTAACATAATCAGTCACGTTCTTTGTTTTTAACCGTTACCTGAGTCGAGTGCGCGGTCTGTAGGTAGTCGTTGGAGTTTCTGTCGTGGTAGTTGTAGTGGTCGTTGTTGTCGGTGGAGTTGTTGGCGTTTGAATGGAACTGGATAGTTCAGTCTTTTCTACAAGTGCATTAACTAAGCCTGGCAATTGTGGTGAAATAGCTGGAAGTTCAGCTGGCAGATTGTATTGAGTTTGCTCCTCATAATTTGGTGATTGGTTCAGAAAGTAAGTATTAGTCACCGTGTGCCCGGTTGGATCGACTGGATACCTTTGAATCGCTGGTACTGGATCGGGAAAATGAGGTCGGTGATGGTTGGCATTCTGATTGACAAAATGAGTATCAGCGTTGTGTTCTTGGTTGTAAACTGGAGTAGATTGCGGAATTGATTCGTAAGAGAATGCCGATATTGTCTTTGGGCTGTAATAGTTTGGTGTGGTTGACACTTCATTTTGACTGTAATAATTTCGAGTTTTAGTTGGTCTCTCAAGTTTACTGGTTGATGTTCTCTCATCCTGATAGGTTGTAGCCGTCACTGTTTGTAATTTCTCCGTCGAAGGCTTATTCTCGTAGAATTCTTGGAATCTCCATTTGGTAGTTGACTGACTAGGGGGCAACGACGATGACACCTCATACCTGGGTGTAATGGGCTCAGGAGCGTACGAGGCTGTCGTACTCACGTCGTAGGTTGGGGATGGCGAGTTACTTACGACTTGGTAAGCGTTTGGCTCGATCAACGGATTCAGATTCGGACTTTGATTGACGTGCGACTTGACCTCGACGTTTTCCAAAGTGTTGATTACTACCGAGCCGATGTGTGGAGCAGGGAAAGGAATTTTCGAGTAACCCGGCGGTGGTTCAAAGCTCAGAGGCGCCACAAAGAAGGGCAATTTGTCAACTTTTCTCTCCACGCGATTGTTCTCGATCGACGACAAATAAGGCAATTCGAATTTGGCATAACCTGGTGGAGGCTCCAAGTGTCTAGGACCTACGAACACTCGCGGAGTTTCCGGTCCAAAATTATCCAATACTGCAATCGTTCTTGCACTCTTTAGGGTCTTTAATACGTCGGTTAGTCTAATACGATTATGGTCAGAGAAGGAATCTCCCATGAAAACAGAAAGCGGCGGTTGATTTGGTGGAGGTAATGTTTGCGTTTCCGTAGGCTGGCGATAATCCTGCTGATCGTCTTGATATTGATTCAACTTGTTTCGCGGTTTGTTGCGTGGTTTGGTATTTTTTACATTCTTGCTAGTTACTTCCGTCAAATGTTGATGGAATGGAGAATTGTGTACGAATGCTTGAGCATGAGGCTGCTCGATCTCGTAATTTTGAGATTGAACGCCAGCTAACTGTTGGTTAGCAACTTCTTCGTTCACTTGATCTTTTTGATAATTTGAAAATCTCTCGAGTTCTCTTCTCCTTTCCTCTTCTTGCTTAATTTTGAGTTCGGATAATCTACGTTCTTCTTTGCGCTCTCTTTCTCTAATGTCTCGTATTCTCTGCAATTCTCTCTGTCGTGATGCTTCCTCAATTTTTTCCAATTCTTTTCTCTTCTTTTCGGCCTCGCGTTGTCTCATTAATTCTTGTTCTTTTCTCACGGTCTCCTGGTGCAATCGTGCCTGTTTTTCCAGCTCAAGTTGCTCCGCATGCAATCTCGCTATTTCTTTTTCTCGCTCAACTGTTAAAAATTGATTTTTCTCATCGTGTTGGCGCTGCAACTGTTGCAAAATTTCACGGGCATAAGCATCGTGAGGTGTTAATGGAGTAGATGAACTTTCAGAGTGATGCTGATGATATTTGCTAGGGAGCTTGCGATTCTGCGCTCTCTGCAGTTTACCGCGCTGTGCCAATGTTTCAGCGGGCACATAAACTAATTGAATCTAGATTAACGGACAAAAGAAAATGATTTGTTGAGAGACGATTTTGAAACGAGCTTGCAAAAAAAGAGATGGCAATAAAATTACTGCAGTTAGTATGGAAAAGGAATGTAAGTATGTGTGGAGTAGTACCTCTTCGTCGACTGCCGAACTCGTAGGCGGGGTCACGAAGTTTACGTGGGAAGGCTCTTCTTTATGCTTGTGAGTGCTCTCGAAACGTGTCTTCTGCTGGATTCGGTAATCCTTTGAATCGTCGCGCGGTCGACTGGTGGGCCTCGTTATCGATTCCGGGCGATAATCTCGTTGAGAACCGTGATGTCCGCCTCGAGTACGTTTCAGATCAGCATCGGTGGCAAGAAAATCTTGTGGCTGGAACACAGGTGGCAGAGCTTCTCCGGATGGCACTGGAGGCACAAGAACTTCGGGTGCTAGCTGCGGCAACGTTTGCAAGTTCACGATGGTAGTCTGATGGAGAGCCTGTTTTTCTTCCTCCGAACTGCCGAAGGCATTTGGCTGATAGGCTTGGGACTGCCAAATTGAAAGAAAACCTAGTTGAGCTATTGTCATTCGGATAAGCGATAAGACTTAGAATGCCGGCTGAAGCAAAGGCAAGTGAAAACTAGAGTAAGGGGAAAACTATCGATTATTAAGGCTGAAAAATAACCTGCAAAATTTGCTGCTGAGCTTTGAGCTGCTGTTGCAGCTGCAGTAGGCGTTGAATGCTCTCCTGTGTCTTTTGAAGCTGCAAGAGCTGGTCTTGATACTGCTGTTGAAGTGCCGGTGGAAGAGCAACCGCCGGCACTTGACCAGCCGCTTGAGGGCTACTGTCGACGGCCGAAGCTGCTGCGGGCGCGCTTTGCTGCTGCTGCTGCTGCTGTATTTGACTGTTCCGCGGATTCGTCAGTGGAATCCACTCGCTATTAGTTATTTGACGCGACCACCTATCCCTTTCGGTTTGATCGCATCGGGCTGTGCATAGGATTCCAATGAACGTGATCCATATTAGTGCCTCTCGCACGATCTGAAACGGTAAATTAATGAGCTTTAATTTAATTAGACAAATTATTTACCAATTATCCTTTCTCTCTTTTTCTACTTTTTTAATTTAGCCGTACATCTTTTTTAATTTAACCGTACATTTATCGGGAAATTCTTCCATTTGAACTCGGCATCACTAATTGATATTGATTGTAGTTGGATAACATTGCTATTCAATATTCAACAAGACGACAACCATTGCTGGATGAATGCCCATTCTCTATGAAAAAAGTACACGCTTCTCGTGATAACTGGGTGTTAAATTTACGTAAATGAAATTTACGTAAATGGTCAAGTGCTACAGTGAATGAAAGCACGTATTATCTACGAAGAAAAGCATTTCAAAACGCTGAATCAAATGCCATTAAAATTACGCAACAATGTACGATAATGAACGAGCTTGTACATCGTCCTAGGAATGGAGCACTGAGAGTATTTTATTTTTCAAGCGAAAACGTGGTCGAAGAACGCAATGGGGGAAAAATGAGGAGGAGTGCTGCCACACTACGTAGCGTAAGTTGTCCTCGCGTTCACTGGCTCGCTGTAATACTGGTATTTCGCGCGGCTAGAAAATGATTTTGAACGAGTACCGTGAGACGAAGGACGCGGTGCTTCTGCAGAAAAAAAGATGTTTCAAATTGTGGTGAGCGCGGTTAGTTAATCGGCGAAACATGCGGCAAAACGTAATTCAGCGGTCTTCTAGTATTTAATGAGCTTATACCGTGAAAACTCTCTTCGCTTTGATTAGACATATTACCTTGAAGTTTAGCGCCTTGTGGATTTTCCAATTTACATTTTGACATTTTGCGATAATCAATATTTTCAAACAAAAGCCAAGTTTATTTAAAGTCTCGAAAAATTGATTTGCAAAAGGTAATCTAATATAATAAAAGTTTAATAAATTTCTCCTAAAGTCACAAATTATTCTCTACAAAGTATAGTTTCCGTTACACCTTCTCTATTTAATTTAACTGTGATTGATTAATAGACAATCATCAGTCCTCAAAAGCGCCACGTTTTACCACTCTATGATTATATCGTTACTTTTAAATTTCATCCAATCACGTCGTACGTTCGAGTGTAAGTTATCCTTGAAACATAATGAATATGCGCATCTACGAAACGGTAGAGTACTCTTTCCATGAGCGTTATAGGTGATTTGTTAAGTGCTGATAGCTCAATGATAGGTCGAAGCATTGTGAAAGAATCAATCTGAGAGCAGTGTACTTTCTCTTGCATAAATGAAAAAAAAATGATGGATTATATTTCAAATGTAAGTATTTAATAAAGAAAAAATTAGATTCCTTTATAGAAAAAAGTAAATGTTTTGCGCGAGAGTAATAGAGAAGTAACAAAGTGGCAAGTGTAAAGCTTTCAACTAGAAACCGAGAACAATTACTTGAGCTGAAATTGATGTTTATGGTCGTATACACGGCTTATCTGAAAACGTCAAAACAAGTGCGAGGATTAAAATGATTGTGGCCGTAACATTATGGTGACAGTGACAGCTGTTCTCTCCTCCTTCTCACCGTAACTATAGGTTTTCCCCTGGGAAAGATATCTCTCTTTACGAAGAAAACTTTATGGCTCGCTCCTACTGGTAACAGAAATTTTATAAAAATACGCTTTTATTTGAATGAAAATGTGAGAATGAGGAATTTTTGCAAATTAGATTACAGGTGTTTCCGTCGACTATTTCGCACAGCTCAAAAGTTTTTTCTGCGAAATGCTACTACACTTTAAAATTGTCAAACGCTTTATTGGTCATTTGAGCAGCCAATTATTTTGGCCCAAATTACCATTGGTCTATTATTTTTGAGAGTACGGGCCGCACTGAAAGGTACAATCGTTGTCTTTCAGTGGCCAAAGTAATGACGGCGATTGCAATGCGGGAAAGGGGATTATGTTCGAAAAGTTTGCCACAACAACGACGACAACAACTGATTATTTATACGGCCGCAGGCGAAAAAAAATGCAAGAAAAAAAAGAGAAAAAAGTAAGGATTGTGCATGAAAAACTGACACAGATAGGCGCGTAGAGGTAAGTAGACCGCTAGCAGGTTGCTACATCGTGGCTGCATATAGTAGGCTCTCTTGATTTCTAGCGCGCGCGATCAATTTCCCATAATATATAATACATTATATATATCCAATCAACGGACGTCCGTAAATACCACATAGCCCCGCTATATATATATACACACACTTCAAGGCGAAACAAAACAATATCACTTAGGTTCTCATAGACAATTATCTATAAAATATGGAATACCATATCACGTTAGATTGGCGTCTTCGAGAGGTAGTAGCATTAGTACTCTCTCGTTATGGCAATGGCCGTCGGAGGATCTAGACTGCGACTGGTCTCTAACGAACTGTGAGCCGTAAGCGTGCGAATCATACGGTAATGCTTCTAATTGGAGCTGATCGCTCTCTGCCTGCATTCTCTCTCTCTCTCTCTCTCTCACTATCTCTAGCCGGAAGTTTTCTCCACGTGTACGTGCGTGCTCGCGAGGAAAGTGACGCCTTCTCTCGGTTTCTTTTATTCTGCTCTCGTAATCCTAAAGAATTCGACGGGATATGAGGAAGCGTCATCGAGACGTTGTTGCTTTTATTGCTGTCTGTTTACTGCCGTTGTCTCAGCTTCACTGCTCGACGACATTTACGACTCTACAATCTTCCATCTTTGTCCTATCCGGGTTCTATGCTTTAGCCACTTTGAATTGCCACGAAGATAACGCTTGCTGATTTTATCGCATGGCACACTATTTTTTTTTTAATATTCATTGCCAATCAAGTTCATCTGAATATAGCGACGTGTTCGCTTTCACTTTTACGCGGAGCAAGCTAACCATCAGGGCCAATAATCTCGGAAATAAACGTGTCACGCAGAAGCAAAGACACGCGTACTGAGGCCTAAAAATAATTACATTTCCTTTGAACGTCCATTTTCGTTAACCGACATGCAATTGCCTCGCAGACGTTTTAGTTTAGCAACTCGGTAGACAGATAAAACAGTTTCATATGCATTTATAAACGATCGGAAATTTATTTAGAAAGTGTTGACCAACTAAATATTGCGTTCAAGGAGAACATTAAATATATCGAGTGAGTAAGAAATTGAAAAAAGAGAATTATAAGCATTCCACGATTCGCAAAAAGGAAAGCTGCAAACGAACGCTGCTTTCCTACTCAATATTTATTAAATATGTTCGCGAGTAGGCGGGAAGAAACTTGCTTAGCACACATTCTTTGATCTGTTTGATCGAAGTAAGGTGCACATTTTGACGTTTTGACGCTAGATCTCGCATCCTATGAGCTGATTTTTCACTATAAATAACAACGCTTCGCTGATATCCATTTCAATGCTATTATCAGTTGCAGAGTTGTTTCCACGCGAGCAAATTAAGAATGGTGTACTAGACATTAATGTCACAGAACGAGTAAGCGTTTACTAGAATAAATACGTATTTTAAGGCCGAACATTAACATGACGCAAAAAGTCCCACGTCAGCCGGAACTTATAAACGTAAGAGTTCTGCTGCACAAGCTAGCAAGTCATCTTTGCGTTTCTAGTGTTAAGCAATTATTGGCTCGTCATCTGTGAACGCGACTCGTCGCGCGACAGCCATAATTTTCCAGCCGCGGTTGACACGCTCCACCCGATACTTGCCATTTCCGGACACTAACCCCGCCGCTACTGTCTGTAATATTACACGCACCGCGTAGACGAGTTTTTCCAACTCTTTCACGACAACCAGCTGTAATGTATTTTCAATTTCCTCGCCGTTCCTGCGGCGCACACTTGCGCGCGGTCACCAGTGATATAATGCCCACTTGCTGGCCAGTCGTCAGCGCTAATCGACCGCGGTGCAGCCCCGATAGAACAGAAAAAACTACGTCGAAGATACTCATTCCGCAAAGGAAAACCTCAGAGCTAAAAAGAGCGACTACTCTCCGTAATCGAGCGATCATCGAACTGTTGCATCATCAAGTTTGAACGAGGTTTTGCCTTCCAAATGTTTGTGCTTTTTCCTCTTCTCGTCAATGCAATCGGCTACAAGTAGAAAGTTTCGAAAAAATTTGCCGCAAAGCGTGTCGATTTTTCGATAAATGACACAGCGAGCAGTCGGAAGCGTCTCATAAATATAAATCAACATGTCAATGCGGAACAAGGAAGTGGCGAGACGTTTCACATACTTTTGTGGGCGGCAAAAGAAAGCTGCCAATTCTTTTTCAAGCGACGCTAACTAATGTGTATTTTAAATCTCTGTTTCCTACTCCTATTATCATGCTCATTTATTTTCTAAAAACAAGTTTTGCACAGCGCTTCTCAATACCTATGATATATGTGAAAGCTCAATGAAACAAAAAGAAACTAAACAAAAAAATACTTAACCTTGCCGATCAATCATCACGTCTCTGCTAGAATCCACATTATCGCATATGGATGTTTTATGTTTCGATTTCTCTGGACTTAATTAACATTCAATCCGATTAGGCATGGAGAAAAATATCTTATGATTAATAACATTCTATCGTATCTGTTTTGAATGGAATTCAAAATGAGCAGGGATTCAAGTGGATCCATTCAACTATTCAGTAATATCCGCCTTGAATTCTTTAGCTTGGTTGCAAGCTTATCTTCGAGAGCCAGCGTACATTAATAAAATATGAAAATCATCGCGAGCAGCTCACTAAACAAAAAGAATACTGCGTGATCAGCATTGTAGATTGCACTCCATGCTTTATTGTTTTCTCGATTACTCTTTCTTTCAACCACCCAGTAGGAACAACATTCTTTCCAGTGGCGCGCACTTAAAATAGATCGCTCAGGTTTTTCAGCTCATTCTACTAAAAAAACTGGAATCCTTTGTGTTTTTTCCACCGCTCTTTTGGCTCCGATGTGGATTTCATTAGCGATCGCGAGTGGGATGCTTTTTTCACGTAATGACAAACTCGGGGGAAAGTCCAAAAAAAATAG